TCGGAAATATATGACGAGAAACTCCGATGACCACAGTGAAGCCATAAATGACGTCACACAAGGTCAACAATGCAAAAGTTAAGCATTAGACCTTGCAAGTAGTGTACGAAACCACGATTCCACGCATGCTCTTCAGGAGCGGGCCCACGTGCAGTGAGATGACCGTTTGCGGGGCTGACGATTCACGGTTGGCCTTTTCACTGTGACAGGCCCCGTGGAGGCACTCAGCCCGGTGCACTAGGGTGCCGGTGGCCGCCCAGATAAATGCCTCTCTTTATTCTTACTATCCTTTTGGCTGTGGAAAGGTTCCGTTAGATCGACAAGGTCTAACACTAACGTTGTTAGCGTTAGAAAAGCTAAAAGTTTAATCAACGTTAACGTTGATTAAACTTTAGGTAGGTTTGGGAAGCCGATGTCAGAGACCAGGGTGACTTCAGGCATGATGACTGTCGAAATTGTTTTGCAATTTCTATTGATATTAATATAAGGTACGAGACGGTGGCTAGGAAAAAGTTCGTATATGCTTAGAGAAGTCCGTTCATTTCGTGTGGGCACAACCAGATAATGCTGGTCTTGCCCGATGACCCCGACGGCGCGGCGGCCGGCGCCACAGTCGGACACCTCCAGTTCCAACCACCCAAATCTAGCGCGTCAGTGGGGATCACAGCCCCTCTCGATGGATTGCGGTGGGTCGAACGCATCGATAGGGACTAACCCGATCCACCCCACCCCACCCTCCCTCCTTTAGCACCAGTCTCCACAGCCCCAGAACTCACCTTGGTCCTCAGCCTCCGTCAGCCTCGCTCTCACAACGACAGAACCTCACACGGTGGTAGACCCCACACAACCCAAACACCGTCCTTCTCCGACCCCGCAGCGGCCATCACTGCACCTACAGTTGTCCCCACCGCCGCCACCGCCGCCGGGCAGGGCGTCGGTGACGGTACCGGCGGCCCCGACGACACTGGCTCGTCGCAGCCGACGATCGGTGGAGGGTGGCGCGCGCACCTGGACGGGCGGGGGCGGGGGCGGAGGCGGGGGCGGTGACTGACCGCCGCCCGGTGTGTGGGTGGCGACGGACGGCGGGACGGTCGCACTGTAGGCCGGCAGCCTGAAAAAGCGCTAGAAATTCCCCCAAACTGACTGTCCGCAATATGAACAAAATAGGTATCATTTAATCCCAAATTGATCGAAGAATACGATTCCGATGCTAGTTTTGCCCTAAGGTCAAAATTGAGGTCGTCAGTTGTCACCAAACACAAGACAATTTAGACTCTCTATAGGCCACCACATTTACCGATTTTAATGATGAACTTTAGTGGTAATTTAATAGTTGACCAATCGTCGTTTCGAACGAAATTTCCTGTCAGACTAGTTCAGGGCACTGTTGTTCACTATGCCAACATCATTCTGACATATTGCATCGCTTTTCTGCAAGATAAGCTAGCTGTTTGCAAGCAGCTGCAAGACGTAATTTAAAATCATATCCAATTTTTTAATTAGACTTTTATAAAAACGTTATTTCGAGCGGCTAAAAATGAACATTTTATACTAGCCTCTGATTACTCATCTGTTGTTCCATATAGGTGCTTTGCTGCTTTTCCCTGCTACTTTTCGAGATATGCGCCAGTAAAGAAGGCCCGGCGCTCTTTAAAACGCTGGAAGTTGTGAAAAACAAACGCTTATAATCTAAATAAAATATATGTCCCTGAGCTCAGAATTGATCAACGCACACAATGCTGTCAACATTTCTGGGCCAAACTAAAAAATTCAGTCATTTTTAACCCCTAAACACAAGTCAGTGATAATCAACAACAACTTGCTCTTAACCCGCGCACCGACGGGGGTCTGCGCCAACTTAGTACCGACGGGGGGGGGCGGATGACCGCCCCCCCCTGAGATCTCGAGAACGAAGCAAGATAGCGACAAGCGGTAAACGGCATCGGATACGCACGGTCAAGATCTACAATTTTTACTAAGGTCATTTTCAGGTCAGGTCAAAGATGACGTCACAGGGGTCGAAAAAGTCAAAATGGCGGCGCTAGATATGGAGAGAGTTTTTCTCGAATAACTTTCGAATTAGTCAAGATATGAACAAACTAAGGGCATCATCGTGATCCTCTCGTCAATCCGCATCGAATGATATATATGTTGACCTCGAAAGGTCAAGGTCAAAGGTTGACCTCAGGTCACGTGACCTCGAGGTCATCATGTATATCATTCGATGCGTCTTGACGAGCTGAACACAATGAGACCATCCACGCGTCTGTATCTTGTTCCTGTACGGAGTTATTGGCCAAAAACCTTTGGTGACCTTTGATGACGTCACATGACCTCACAGCTGCCCAACAGCAAAACAGACCTCAAGGTAGTGAAGGTTGATCGTATATGAAGTCATGTATGGTATATGGGGCCATTCCGACCCGTTTTAGTGGTAAAAACAGGGAGTTGATTTTTCCCCCATTGACTTATAATGGGGAGGTCGCGAAATTGACCTGACCTTAGGTCACCGATATCAAAATTCCGAGATATACAAATTGTAGCTACTAATGACCTAATAACATCCTGCGACTTTCAAAGGCCTCCGACATCTACTGTAGCTCTGGCACGGTGACAAAGTTGCAAAAAAGTGACTTGAGGTTGGGTCATTCAAAGTGACCTGGTGACCTGACCTTGAAAGGTAGGAGGTTCAAACTTGCACACCATGTGTAAAATTGATAAGGGAATAGTCATACCAAATTTCGCGGCGCTACGCGCCGCGGTTTTCCCGCTATTCGCGAAAAACCTCAGGGGGGGGCGGATATCCGCCCCCCCCCGTCGGTGCGCGGGTTAAGTTAGACTTTTTGAGAAATGTTATTTCGAGCCGCTAAAAATGGCCATGCCATACAAACCACCAATCATCTTTCTGTCATGCCCTACTCGCAATTTTTGCTAATGCCTGCTACTCTTCGAGGTCACGTGACCTCACCATTAAAAGTGAATGGGAAAATAAGGAAACTGTTGTTTTTGCGCATGGAATGATTTCAAACTATCTCAAGCACACGGAATCGTGATTTCGTGCACTCCTTGGAAGATCCGATGCTTTACTTTTGCATTTTTGACCTTCCGTGACGTCATTTATGACGTCACACCGGTCATAGGAGTTTCTCGTCAATAACTCATGATCAAATTGAGCCAGCGACTCGGGAAAGCCACCAATGGACTCGGAAAGACCTCCCGAATCGAATGATATGCGATACGACCTCCTTCGATTAAGTTCGTGGCCTGATGGGCTCTGAACTGACCTTGACTCGAGGTCAATACCTTAAGTTGACCTCACCCGAACAAAAAGTATACCATTCGACGCGCCGGAGCCAGGCGAACACGATGGTGCCAAAATCGCTGCTCTGCGGCCATTTTTTGCGAAAATATTTGCCAAAAACCAAACCCTACCTTGGGCTTTTTGACTTCACCTCAGAGGTTACCGGTTGACCTGGGACCTTAAAATCGGGTATCAATCGTTCCGCCTTGAAACGGCGCACACGCTTGTTTTTTTTCCGCGAGGCTCTAGCTCCATTAGGGGCGAAACGGCAAAAAGGGGTCGTACCAACCCTCCCCCCTCGGCCGGCCCAGGGGGTGGGGGGTCCGACATTCCATTCCATTCCATTCCAGTGTATTTTAGTAAACAAGGATCAAATAAATGTACAGAGCAAATAAGGGATCGGCGCAAAAGCATCGCTTAAATTAAAGCGCCTCTCCGAAGAAGAACATAAAATTGACAATGCTAACCTAACCAATACCTGAGGCCAGACGACGCTAGCCCCGCCAGCAACCCTCCGAGCAACAAACGAACCGGGTCAAGGCGCCCGGGCCCGAGCGACAACAGCTAGGCCAGCGTGCTTGGGTGTGAGTGGGTTACCTAGTAGAGCACTTCATGGGCCGGATAAATCCGTTATCCACGGATAAATCCGCGGACCGGATAGGATTGGATTCTAAATTTGTTAAAAAAGAACGGATATGGGCGGGCCGGATTTGGGAATTGAAGGTTGAACCCGGATCAAAACGGATCAAAATTTTAACATTCAACATTGAAGTTAAAAATTAGCCTAATGTGTTAAGCGGCAGCAGAGGTTTGATTAAAGTAATAGGCATCATTTTATGACACTCACTTGTCACAAGACTTGTATGGCTGTCTGGTCCCTTAGATTGAATTTGTTAGTCCAGTTTTGGGTGAAACCAGTTATTGGTGAAACGGATTATTACGGATATTTTTTGGAAGTTTGGCTGCAATACGGGCCATGGGTGGGCCGGATTCTGATATTCAAAGAAAGGCGGATAATGGGCGGATCTGGATATGACTTGCCGGATATGGGCCGGGCCGGATCCTAAAAAGCCTATCCGTGAAGTGCTCTATTACCTAGTGTTGGGTGTTAAACCGGCGTGAGTGTGCGATGTATGAGTGAATGTGGAGAGCAACAAGTGTGCCCTGGGTTTCAGAAAGGTCGTTTCCATATAGAAGAATCCGACAATAGGTCCGGCGAGGGTTAAGCAGCCCCACTTCGTTTTTAGCATGTTTGCTTGTCACTGAGATCAACAACTTAATCACAAATAATTTCTAGCACTTTTCCGGACCCCCGGCCCAGTGTGGGTCGGTGCTGGACTGGCAAGAGATGGCTTGTAATTGAAATCTCGCGTCAAACAGGACTTAGGCGGTCCCGTGAGAAAAAGGACTTCAGCGATGCCGTCTAAAAAACATAAAAGGAAAAACAAAGGAGATCATAGTAAAGTGTAGGAACTTCATCAAGGGTTGTGAGGCAAAGTGATTTGTCGAATGTTGCGTTGCCAATCGCACAACTCTCTGCCATTGTGAGCCAACCGGGCACCGTGTGCAAGCCCGTGAGGCTGTACTGTAACGCTAGCACGAAGTTTAGCACAGGAAAGTGCTGTTTACCGTCCGAGACAACCATTAGGTCTTCGTTTCAGGTAGCGCAACGTTTTTTCTTGATCACAAAGCACGTCGATCAGGTGCCTTAACGGTTTATTAATATTAGAAGGCTTTGTACGCAGAGGACAATGCATAGACATCGATGACACGGAGCAATAAATATTCGCCCGACCGAGAAAAATAACAGGTAGAAAACTAGTCCAATACAAAGCATGTACATTGTGCGGCGCGGTCTCTTTGGTGACGGCGTACAAAAATAGTCGCGTCGCGGACAACTCAGCGAAGCGGGCGTCGCGCGCCGGTGCGCCTCCCAGCTCCCTGTCAATCAGTATGATTGACGCGCGGTGCCGCGTCGAACTCGTGCATCGCGCCTCGCTCGCTCGCGCAGCGGTCGCTCCCGTCTGCGATCGCTCCGGGTCGGGGAAATGGCCAGGGTACATGTATATCCGGGGAGGACCGCGATGGGCCGGCGCCGTCACCGCCCGTCAGAGGCAGACCGACGGGACGACACCCGCCAGAAGCGACGAGCGGGAACCACAGAAGGAGAGCGACCGGCGCCCCGCAGAGTCCAGCGTCACTAAAAGCACCGAACCGAACCGAACCGAACCGATCAGCGGAGAGAACCGCGCGCCGCGACTAGTCATGGACGGCCTCTCGGGCGCGCGTGGCGCCCTGTACGCGACGCTAAAGCCTCACCTAAACGCCCACTATTGCAGTAAATAACTATAAATAACGCGATTAACATAACCTGCTTACGAATAGCGACTACACGTCTAGTACGACATGTTTTAACAAAACAGTCTACGACGCCACACTAAAAGGCGTGGATAGACGGAAAATCTCAGTAACGCGAATCTCCACTGTCAACAAAGGTAACCGAGTAACAAACTGAAAACGTAACAGGTCCGCGGGCGCCGCAGCGAAGGCGTGGGACGCGCCAGCGGCCAGACGCAGCCATCCCTGGCGGGCACATCTCGGCATACATCGTCCAAACCCTCCGGGGCCGTCCTCGCCACACCCCGCGTGGAACAGAGTCGTTCTCAGGCACAGATACGACCGCGGCGGGCTGTCCACGATCGGTACGACCGGAGCAGCCCCCGAGTCTCCCCCGCGGCCCACGCCGAGCGGCGGGGCCCAACCATCACCAATCTCCCCAACAAGCAACTATCACAGGAAACAAACTAATCAGCAATAATTTAAAGGCGACTTACGCTAGACCTTTGGCATAACATCTCCCTACGTAAAAAGTGTTCGCGCGCGCGGGGGCGAGCTTGTCGACCAGAGCGGTGCACGAGACACACGCGTCCGACGAACCCGTACTTCCCGACGAAATACACGCCGGAAACTCACCCATTCCGTCAGCGCAGTCCTTAGCAGCCAGCCCAGCGGCTCGTCCGTAGCGTTAGCCCCGCCCGCGGCACAGGTCGGCTGAGCGGGCACTGTCTGCCTGCCACCACCGCTCACCGGCGCGGAGTGATAACTGTAGAACCAGCTCACCAGCCCGGGCGGGCGGCGGGCGGGAGACCGGCGGGCGGCGGTTACTTGCGGCCGAACCGCTGCGCCGGACTGTCCGGCGGCGTGGTGGGCGTCTGGAAAGTCCTGGACACGGGCAGGTGGCTGCGGGCCGCAGTCGGCAGACCCTGGATCGTCTCCTGGATCGACGACGACGCCTTGCGCACCGTCGTCTTGAACGAGAGCCGCTTCAGCGTCTTGGGCGACGGGTCGGCCTTGCCCAGTTCGATCTCCGCCATACCCGAGTCGGGGTCGGCTGTGGGCAGAGCGCGGGGTACGGTCACAGCACACCGGTATCAGTTGTAGCACAGGTTACGATTGAAGCAGTATGCTCTAACACGGTGCCCAGCAGCTGTTGTAGCACTGAGCTCGGCAAGTCCAGAATACCAGGAATTTCTGCTAGTCCCGGCAATCGACCGGGAAACTTTCTAGAAGCCATGGCAAGAAATAAAAACACATGAGATAACGAGATAATGAGATAAATTATAACGCTTACATTCGGGCGCATCGGAATCAATACCCGGCATTAAAATTACGTCTACAAACGTAACATCTCAATCTTCAACTCAGTCTTCTCTTTCCGTGTAAAATGGTGTCTGAGAGAACATTTTGTGCGCCAAACCTGCGGCAATCAGTTCCGTCCTTACCTCTGTGGTTGCGTGTCTCCGGGTGCCATGGGGACCGCTGAGGAGTGGCGTCCACCAGAGCGGAGGTCAGCGGCGGCTCCGAGCCCACCCGGGACACCGGCTCTGTAGGACATAAGGTCAGGTCAGGTCAGGTCAGCAGCGGCTCCGAGCCCCACTCGGGACAGGGGCTCTGTGGGTCACAAGGTCACAGGTCAGGTCAGGTCAGGGGAGGACCGCGTCCACCAGAGCGGAGGTCAGCGGCGGCTCCGAGCCCACCCGAGATACCGGCTCTGTAGGTGAAAGGTCACAGGTCAGGTCAGGTCAGGGGAGGACCGCGTCCAACAGAGCGGAGGTCAGTGGCGGCTCCGAGCCCACCCGGGACACCGGCTCTGTAGGTCACAAGGTCACAGGTCAGGTCAGGTAAGGGGAGGATCGAGTCGAGTCCACTAGAGCCAAATCAGCGGAGGGTCCACCCCACTGGGGACACCGGCTCTGTAGGACATAAGGTCAGGTCAGGTCAGATGAGGGCCGGCTCCGACCCCACCCGGGACGCCGGTTCTGTCAAACACCAGGTCAGGTCAGAAGAGGTTACGAACCCATCTAGGTCACCGGCTGTGGAACATCAGGCCAGGTCGGGCCAGATAAGGGGCGGCGGATCCGAGCCAACACGCGGCACCGGCTATGTTTGAGGTCTCACAGGTCAGGTCATGTAAGGGGCAAACCGACTCCACCCAAGAAACTGGCTGTGTTTTAAGGTCAAGTCAGGTGTGGGTGGATCGATGAGGGGTGGATGCGACGCCATCTATGGTAGTCTCTTTGGAGGTCACGGGTCAGGTCAGACTGATCAAACGGGGCAAAACGCTGATACACCCAGGGGGCACCCGGATTTGAACCGGGGACCTCTCGATCTGCAGTCGAATGCTCTACCACTGAGCTATACCCCCGGATGGCAATTGCCGCCGGAGAACACGATCTGAACAGCCAGCGCCTGGCACAAACTCCCACATAATATGGCCCATATCTGCTTTGACAGCTGCACCTACCTGTCGGCTTTCCGCGTTCGCCTATCCAGGGTGTATCATTATGCCTAATAGCATCCCACCCTTGGCGGATCAAGGCACTGGACCGCTAGGGTAACTGCAGTTTGTATGTCTGTCTGTATCTGCCACGCAACTCTCACCCTCATGGGCAGGTCGCGGCGCAAGGCCGCCGGGGTTCTGCATGTTTTTTTCACATACATTTGTCACCCTGGGCGGAGCGTGGTACCGGACAGCTAGATCACTGTAGGTCGATGTGTGACAGCTACTCTCTCTGTCTGTAGCTGTCACACATATCTCTGTCAATAATTGTGACATATATCTTACCCTGGGCGGGTCGCGGCCTGTGCGTCTCTCTGTCTGTAATTGTAGCCTATATCTCACCCTGGGCAGGCCGCGGTGCCAGTCCGCCGGGTACCGGGGGCGCCGGACTGTACACACTGCCCACCAGCTCCTCAAACGTGGACGACTCGCGGTGGTTGGAGATGAGCGTCTCCAGCGCCTGCGAGCGCTCCTCGAAACTGGAATAGAGACACAGTGTTAGTACCCAGTACAGACACACGGCCAGGCTGACAAAAAAAAAAAAAAAATAGCTAGCCGCCAGCCGGCCTGCCTGTCAGCGCTAATCGACATTGGAATAGATACGGCGTCAGTCTCCGGCACAAACTGGATAGCCGTCAAATGATATTGATAGCTTCACTTCCACGTTATATCGTGCCACATGTTAATTAAGCGTATTGCATAAAGACACACATTCAGGCACACACTGCCACACTCACAAGTCGAGGAACCACGGTGACAAGTTCTACTCTCGAGTCGAAGCAGCAGAGCAACAAGTTCTACTCGCAAGTTGACATAGAAGGGTGATAATAATCTACACATAAGCTGAGGTAGTGCCTAGGGCAGCATACTGTACACACGGCAGTATGCTGTACTCACTGTACTACTGTACTCACAAGTTGAGGTAGTAGGGCAGCATGCTGCGTTTGGCCCGCGAGGCATTGAGCGCAGTGGCCCGAACCAGTCCCGGTAGGATCTTCCGTCCCACGATGGCGCCGTTGAACAGCGGGCCGAAGAACGGCACCTGACGGGGGAACAGAAGAGGGTCAAATGGCTGCGTGAACAGATCAGAACAGATAAAAAAGCGGTGTCTGGACTTGTGCAAAGAAATGAGAGGATGGGTAGGTAGCCGGTACGGTATAATGTTTGTGTCGAGGTCGGACCTAGATCACCTAATGCGATTTGTAGTGCACAACACAGGAAACTTTATTCAACTTCTCCCAGGCGCTCTGGTAAATTTTATTTGTTAAAGGAATGCTGAGCTGATGTGCCTCGAGTCTCGACATCAAAGATCTGATATTTCAGGGCCTCAAATCAACATCACATACTTGAAAGAGGCACATGTATAAAATGGTACTATCTTGACCTCAATGACATTAGCGCAATGCATACACAATGCAAAGAGCGTCTTGCAAAGGACAGCATGCCAGCATTCCGCGCCGCTCAGCGGTCCATTTCGCGTCGGGCTTTTCTGTTCAATAAAGTGCGTCGATGCAGCGGTGGCGGTATGGCCGGTACTTTCCACGTGTCTGGGGAGAAATCGTGTCACCAGGGTATTGCCAGTATCGACCGCCACCCCGCCCATTCCGGTTGCCCCAGAGTTAAAGTCGGCTCACACCGGGCCTGGGGCGTCGACCTGGCCTGGAGTACGGACCCGGCTCGACCCCGAGTTACGGCCGACTCACACCAGGTACCTATCGGGCGTCGACCCGACCCGGCAGCCGAGTGTAGATCCGGCCCGCAGCCCGGGCCGAGCGACAGGCACAGGACAGTGACCCGCCCGCACGGTCACCGCACCACGGCTCATACGTCAGCGCCCAACAGATCAGTTAGGGACCGTAGGTTTGTGTGGCAAGGACGATAGGAACGGGCTCAGCCCCGGTGACTCACTAGGGTGCCTGCCCAGACCAATGCCTCCCCCTATATCCTGTCATCCTCCCGGCTCTGAAATGGTCTCATTGGACCGAAAGGGCCTAACTCAACAAAACAAAGGACGATAGGAGAGGCAGCTGTTGAGACATCGAAGTGGTCATAGGTTTTGTCTCTTGATGGTTTCTATAGTGCCCCGGCTGGTGTTTATTTATTGGGGCTTTAGGACGCGTCCTGCCCTGGTTCAGTTCACCAGTGATATATTCACATTGAACAACTCCTCCACAGCCGAACTAAGCCATCGATTACCGTTCACGGTGGCAAAACAGCGCCTCCCCTCCCTCCCCCGCACCGATCGCGGTAGGGACCAACTTCCCGACCAAACATCGTCTACGGCCGGTCAACAGTAGCCGAAACGGCTCTAATTGGGCTGAAAACGGCCACCGCTCGACACGGAGCTACGGACCGCAGTGTTCCATTTTTCAGACTTTTTGGTGGGAAATCACACCTAATGGGGAAAATATTTTCATCCCTAAAATATGAATGACCGACTTCACTTCATCTCTGAAAAAAGTTTCATGTATTCCCAACAGCCAGTTTACATGCCACTATCCTTTTGTTTCACACCCTGCCAAGATCCTGACGTGCAATCCTGGTTTATCAGTTGGCATAAAAATTGGCATTTACACCATTTTGCAAAAAAATACTTCAGTTATTTACTTCCTTTTTTCTCATCCTAGGATTTTTTCTTCTTCATCGGCACACCCAACCAATATCTAATTTTAGAACACTGACGGACCGACACCCGGGCGGGGGACGGCGTAATGACCCGACTCATCACTGACGAGCTGCCAGGGGCAGACTGACAGCTGGCACCCAAAATAGGACATACTGTCAGCTCGTCATTTAACAGAGGAGCAAGCTGACAGCTACTCATCCAACACAGCCCAGCCACTAATCACCAAGACGTCAACAGTGGCGGCATCAACGACCTAAGTGGCGCCCGAGTACCGTGTCAAGAGTCGATCCATTGCAAGCGGGACACACGACAAGGGCCGCATTTAGTGGCGCTCCATACAGCTTTGAACAGACTCCAGGTAATCAATACGCGCCGAGTGGGCCGCCTTTTCGCCTCCCCGGCCACTTCACAGGACTCCTACCGGGCGGCCCGCTGACAGGGTTAATGATTTATGGTCGCAGCTGTGTATACGCTGTACCGAGTAATGTCAGTGGTGTCGCCGGCGGGATTATTTTGGGTGTCACAGAAACATCAGGGTACCGGCGGACTAACGAGCCAGCACAGCGTCTATTTAGAACCCACGTACAGTGAAGGCGACCTTTGGAACCTGATGTGCCCTGAAACTGCAGTGGTAGTTCACCATAGGTTACGCAGTACGCTTACCTGTAGACGTCGCCAACAGACCCTCCGTTATCATGAATATCCTAGTCAACATGTATGAATACATTAACATTCAAATTTTATTCATGACCGTCAAACTACAGACGCGTCTTTTAAACTACATTTATTTATTTATAACTTCCAACAATCCGCCACAATTCAGCCAAGAATTACGAAAACTGCAATGGTCTAAGTCATTGAATCAGTTTCCATCTCATCAGGTAAGTTCCCATCTTACCCTTCCCTTACCTACCAGACACTCCCAGTGGCCAGTTCATCTTCATCTTCATCTTCGTGTGATCGGGTCAAGAGGCACGATGTCCTGTAGGGCCCGTTCTCGCCGATTTCCATAACTCCACTTAGTTCTCAGTCTGTTACAGGAGTGGAGTACCAGATCGACTCCCAGTGCGCATCCAGCCTGTTCTTAAAGACGTTGACTGAGGGCGAATGTACAATTTCTGCTGGAAGTCCGTTCCAATCGTTAATACACCGTACAGAAAATGAATTCAGTCTGGCACGGCAGGTTGCACGAGGCTTCCGTAGTTTAAGTGTGTGACCCCGAGTTCGCCTTTCAGGATTGGTTGCCAGAAGCTCTGAAGGATCAGTATCAACGTGGCCGTGCAGCATCTTGTATGCGTGAATCATATCCATGCGTCTACGCCGGTAGTACAGTGACGGGAGCTTCAGTCTCTTCAGCCTTTCAGGATATGGAAGGTGGCGGATGCTCACCACTAACCGGGTGGCTCTTCTTTGAACCCTTTCGACTGCCTTCTGATCAGCTCTATTGAACGGACCCCAAACAAGACTGCTGAACTCCAGGTGAGGCCGCACGAGAGATTTGAACAGATGAGGCAGGGTAAACTCATCTAAAAAGGCGAAGGACCGGCGGATGACCGCAAGAACTTGAGACGCTTTGAAGACCGCCGTAGACGCTTGCTGTCGAAACTTCAAGATTGAGTCGACCTGCACACCCAGGTCTCTCTCGACTGACGTGTTTGTCAGTCTGTCCGACCCCATTTGAAATGAGTGGTGGTCCTTGGCTGCACCAACATGAAGCACTTTGCACTTATTCTCGTTAAATGGCAGCTGCCAGGTTCTAGACCATTCCACGAGGGCGTTCAGGTCTGCCTGCAATGTCCGCACATCATGTTCAGAAGAGATGCCTGAGAACAGCTTTGTGTCATCCGCGAACATTCGCACATTTGAAGTGACAGCGTCTGGCAAGTCATTGACATAAAGCAAGAAGAGCAATGGGCCCAACACTGAGCCTTGGGGCACACCACTGCGCACAGGGACCAAGTCTGACAGGTTTCCATATAGGGACACTTGCTGCATTCTGTCTTCCAGGAATGATTCAATCCAAGACAACACTCGGTCACCAATACCATAACAGCGCAGCTTGCCTATCAGTCTCTTGTGTGGGACGGAGTCGAACGCCTTTCGGAAGTCAAGGTAAATCACTTCGACCTCCGTCTTGTCCTCCAACAGGCGGCTCCATGAGTCTATAGAGTCAAGCAGTTGCGTGTCACAAGATCGCTTCGGGCGGAAGCCATGTTGGTCCTTGGACAGCAGGTCATTTGACAGCAAATGGTCCATTAAACAATCACGGATGAGCGACTCAAGAATCTTACAGGGAACAGATGTGAGGCTGACAGGTCTATAGTTTCTTGGGTCTTCCTTTTCACCTTTCTTAAAGATGGGTATGACTTTACCGTGCTTCCAGTCTGCAGGAATAGACCCAGTTTCAAGCGATTTTCGGAACAGTAAGGTCAAGGGAAGGGAGAGAGGACCACTCAATTCCCTTAAAACGCGGGGGTGAATGTCATCAGCTCCTGGGGCACTATTGGGGTTCAGTGCTTTAAGCTTTTGCCTCACTGTGAAAAGGTTGACTGGTATATCGATCAGCGGCGGCCCTGTGTAACGGTTTGCTAGTTGTGGCACGACATTCGTTTTTTCAATAGTGAATGCGCCTGAGAAGACATCATTCAGGAGCGAGGCCTTCGCTTTTTCCTCGCTAACAAGCTGGCCCTGGTCGTTTCTTAGGTCACCAATACTTGCTTTTACTTTACGGCGGCTGTTCACATATTTCCAAAAAGCCTTCGGGTTTTCTTTCATGTTTGCTGATATCCTAGCTTCAAAATCTTTCCTTAACTGGCGAGTCAATGTCCTAAGCTTATTTCTGCAAATCTTGTATCTGCTATAGTCGATCGGGTCTTGCGTTCTCATGTACACTGACCACAGTACCTTCTTCTTCTTCTTGAGGTTTAGTGAACGGCTATTCATGTAAACGTTCTTTTTAGACTTGACGTTCCTTGCTTTGGGTATGCACTCACTCATCAGCGATTCAAGTTTGCTCCTAAACCACTTGTAACCCGCGTCTACACTCATGGTTGACAAACAGCTCCAGTCAACTGCATGTAGTTTTACACGCAAGGCCGTGAAGTCAGCGCGGTGAAAATTCCATTTCAAGCCGGCATAAGAACATTTTTTGTTGTAACAGGCAATATCGCATTTCAGTAGCACATGATCACTCCTTCCTAATCCAGGACAATATTCGATCTTTGTTATCATATTCTCATCATTTGTAAACACCAAATCCAGTATACTAGGCCTACAACCCTCTCTAAATCTGGTAGGCTTGGTGACATGCTGGAACAGGAATGCATCCTGAACGGCAGACAAAAACTTGTTGGCAAAATGTGCTTCAGATGCGCTGCAAAAATTGTTTTCCCAGTCAATCTGAGGAATGTTAAAATCCCCAACAATGAGCAGGTGAGTGTGCTTGAGAGAAATCGCATTTTGGAGTAAGCAAGACAAATCATCAACACTTCGATGGGGGTCGCCTGAGGGGCTGCGATAAATGCATCCGGCAAGTAGCACGTCATTGTTTTCCAAGCACAATTGTACCCAAAGTTGCTCTTTAAATCTTGTAAGTTCCTTACCAAATTCTACTCAGTCACCTAATGCCAATCGCATGTCCCTCACGCTCGCCATGAGCCACCCCGGCTCCCTCACCTCGGGTTTCCTGTCGAGCTGGATGCGGAACAGTCCGCTCTCCAGAGGGTAGATGACGATGAGCACGTCACAGAACTCGGTGGGGATGATGCCACGCCGGTAGTCCCGCTTGTGTTCCGACCACACCACGTGCACCTCGTCGTTACCCAGGTGACGCGTCTGAGGGAGGGGGTGGAGGAGTTACCACACGGCGGGCACACTTTGGCTATAAGGGCTTTACGGCGCACCGACTGCTAAGGTTAGGAAGGCATAATGAGAAGGTAGTGGCGGGTGGCCTACCATTGTGGAAGGCGTAAGTGCGAGAGCAATGCAATTGCGTATTGCGCATGTCTTAGGCGGTGGGTATTTTGAACGTCATTGCTACAATGTCACTTTTCTGATACAAAAGTGGGTAATCTTGCATAATAACACATATGAGAAAAAGGCAATCATATCGCTAATATCAATTAATGAATATCCGCTTAACCCAAAATAACTCCCATATCTTTCAAATCAGCACCTACCCAAAAGCCTCCCGCTCCCGCTCCCTCCTAATTCTCCTTCCTACTCCCTCCCTCTCCCACGGTACCTTTTGCAGGATGGCCTCCTCCGAGTGTGACGGCATTCTGGTGGACACGTGGAACAGACACTCGGTGAACGAGGTGGCGTAGTAGGGCGCCGTGTCGCCCGTCGCGCCGTTACGCTGCAGGCCGCCCATGAAACCAGTGTGCGTCTCCAGCTCCACCTGGGGACGGAGGGGGGGGGGGAAGGTCAGCCCATGAAGCCCGTGTGCGTCTCCAGCTCCACCTGAGGAGAGAGAATGGAGGAAAGTTAAGAGTGACATAGCATTTCTTGGGTGTCGTCACTGAGGCGACACTAGGCGAATAATTGTTGATGTTAATTTCATACTGAGCGATGGTTTTCCCGGTCAATTTTAAGCGTTGTTGCACCGTTTGTGGTCTTATTACGATTTACGAATAAATTTGTTCTTATCCGTAGGTAGGTCTAGGCTGCTAGAGAGAAGAGCGTATGAGTGCAACACTTTATAAGCTGAAGTAAGACTGAAAAGGTTTTATCATTATGATTATAATTACAGCATAAATGACACAATTAAAATGCATAAAACACTGACTATGCATTCCATCACCATTATGACCGGACAAAGGTCAGTTTCCACACGACTACCACGATCCCTCGCTGTAAGCGATTTTCTGAGACCAGTGTCCTCCTCGCGCTACGTCCTCAGCTTCAGTGTAACTCACCTCCCAGGCCAGTCCGGCGATGAATTCCTCGAACATCTGACTACCCGCCGAGTTGGCCAGGATGGACCGTTTGTCCTCCTGACCCAGCGCCACGTAGATCACGGCGATCTTGTGAGTCTCCCGACATTTCTGAGGACGGAGGGAGACGCATCGGTCAGACAGGCACTGGGGTTCATGCAGGGGCGGATCCAGAAAATCTCCAAGGGAGGGGCCATTAGAAACCAGGAGCCCCCCCCCCATAATCCCACCTGTTGGCCCCCCCAAAAAAAAAACTGCGTCTATTGAGCTTATCTAGCTGTTCAGGCAACATCTCAACATCTGTGCAGGCTTGGAGGCCCTCTGTGCAGGTTAGGAGGCCCTGTAAAAGTGGTCATCTCTGTGAGTATAAGAGACCTCCAAGTTATGAAAAGCTTTACCAATCTTCTAACAATAACTAAGTGGGTAGGTTAAAAAAAACTCATCGGATTTCGGCCACTTTATTTTCAGGAGGCCCCCTTTTCAGCTTTTTAACTTTTTAACTTTTTATTTTGTTTTTGAAAAAAATCGGCCAAGGGGGGGGCATGGCCCCCATGGCCCCCCCCCCTTGTATCCGCGCCTGGGTTCATGCAAGAGTACAGACACTGCAGGGCTGAGGGCACAGTGACAGACACACGTTTTCATCTATTTGACTCACTTAACTCTGCTCTTTCCATGTGTTTACCTTTACATTTGAGTAGAAATCAGCTTCAAAAAGACCACTGCCATCGCTGTTTACCGAAGGCAGCACATCCCTAGAGCATTCTGTTCGCTCTGGGTACATTTCCCATCCATCCATCCGTCCTCTCCCCTGTCTTCGCCTCCCCCCTCCCACTCCCCACCTCACCTGATTGTCGACATTCCTGAGCTCCCTCAGCAGTCGCTCCGACTTCCTCAGCAGGTGGATGTGCGGCCGGCGCGACCAGCCCGTCAGGCCGAGCTGGCTGAACAGCAGCCGACCGTGCTGGAACGGCGAGCCGGCCGGCTGGGGGGCAGGGGGACGGCAGGCCGGAGCCGGGGCGCTGCGGGAGAAAAACAGTGGGGTCAGTACAGTAGCAGAGCAGGGGAGGGGAACGGAGAGCCGGCAGGCTGAGGTGCAGGCGGGCGGCAGGCAGGAGCAGGGGCGCTGAGGGAGGGGAACACAGCGGCGTTAGTACATGTGGCGGGGCAGGGGAGGGGAACGGAGAGCCGACCGGCTGCGGGACCGGGGGACGGCAGGCTGGAGCAGGGGCGCTGCGGGAGAAAAACAGTGCGGTCAGTACAGGTGGCGGGAAAAGGGAGAACTGTGAGCCGGTCGGCTGGGGTGCGGGGCAGGGGGACGGCAGGCTGGAGCCGGGGCGCTGCGGGAGGGGACACAGTCGGTCAGCACGGGTGGTGGGGCAGGGCAGGGGAATGGTAAGCATGGGTATGGAAACTTGCTAATACAAGTACAAATAAATTTTGCAAGGAAAGTCGGCAAGAGCAGAATACAAACGTAGGATACTAAAATATAACCGTCACAAGAACTGCGACACTTATGACAAGATTCACCAAATGCACACAAGCAGTACGGTGGCCACTAACACCCATACAGCGCAGAAGTTCAGCGTCTCGCAGCTGCTACCGTGGAGCGACGATCTGATATTTTACCTTCCTCTGACTGCTCTGTGCATACCAACGAGCAACCATAATTGAAGCGTCCTCTCGACTGTTGCTTCACCCGACGCCCCTGCAGTCTGTCCGCGGCCGTTACCTGGTGTCAGCAGTGCGCGCCGGCTCCAGCTCTGCGCTCCGCTGGTTCAAAACACAGCCACCACACCAACAACTGGTGCTGGTTGTGGTCTAAGGTGGTTAGTTACCTGGTATCGGCTGTGCGGGCAGCCTCCAGCTCCGCGCTCCGCTGGTTGAGCAGCGCGTTGATGGCCTCCACGTGTCGCTCCTGGCCGAGCACGGACGGTAGCAGCGAGACGGCGTCTGTGGTGGCCACACACTCCGGGGATGTGTCGGCCAGATACAGTAACAGCTGGGGGAGGAGGGGGTATACAATCAGTACACGGACGGTAATAGCGAGACGGCGTCTGTGGTGGCGACACACTCCGGGGAGGACGTGTCCGCCAAGTACAGCAGCAGCTGGGGGGATACAGCAAAACAACGAAATAAAACACGGTAGGTAAGCAAAAAACGACAACAATTGGTTTGACAAGTGGAAAATTGCGGTATCATAGTTTACAAATCGGTCCCATATCTGTCTCCACCCACCCTCAGTATCTGGTATCATCCTCTTTCTCCACCAATCATCTCTCTCCTTTTCTCTCCCCTCCCCACTACGTCGTCCAAATTATCCAGATCCCCCTCTGTGCCCCTTCCAGCAGGGCAGCGTGCCCCTGCCATCTCCCTCCCCCTCCTACTCACGTCATCCAGGTTATCCATATCCCCCTCGGTATCCTGCCAGCTGGGCAGCGTGCCCCTGCCGCGGTGTCGAACAGTGAACCGGGGCGGGGCCACCATGGCGGCCCCCAGCAGCGACTCCTCCGACTTGCCGTGTACCATGGGCGGGGCGGAGCGGCGCGCCACCGGCCGAGGCGCCCACTCTGTGGAATGAGAATTGTTGTCAGAGAACAGGTCAGTTAGGTGAGGAATGGGTGATGAACGAATCAAGAAATGAAGTGCTGAAGAGCTTGACGAATATATAAAGAAACAAAGATTAAATTATTGGATGAGCAAGTCAATGAAGATAAAAATCAATTTATTAGCGCGGCACCATCCGAACACGTGGACAAGCGTGGCTTAACAAGTCGCACAAAAAGTTGGAAAATAAGTCAGCTAACAAAGCCAGAGCCTGTTCCAGAGCCAGCTAGCCCAATATAATGCATTGTAGTGGGTCTCGAAATAGGCTCAACACTGAACTGCACCGAGCGACTCGAGCTGACCGTCTGTACGGTACAGACTCTGTTATACACAGATATACTAAACTGCGCAGAGCGACTCGAGCTGTCACTATATACTACCCGGCGGTACTATAGTACACTGACCTGCACATAGCGACTCGAGTTGACCGTCCGTGCCGTACAGAACCGAGGCGTCCCAGCAGAACTTGCCGGCCAGGTCACGCAGAATCACTCGCACCTGACCGGACAGGGGTAGCAAAGGGTCAGGTGGGGTCACGCGGGGTCAAATGAGCCATCAGTCTATCACAGCGTTCAAAGGTCACGCTGCCTCAAATGATGCAAGGAAACGATCACACGACTATTCGGTCACAAAAACATACCCAGGCCAAGCTGTAAAAAAAAAAAACAAGTTGTAACGCGGGTAAGAGCAGTGCAGCGTTTCTTCCACAGACACTGATGCCCAGACACTGACCGGTGAATAAATCGCACACAGTTCATCGATCTGGTCCGCTATTAATCAGCGAGTAGGTCGTACACAGCACATTGACCTGACCTGACCCTTCACTAACCTGCAAGTGAGCGGCACACAGTCCGGCGGTCATCCCGGCGGTACTGACCTAGCCTGACCTGACCCGACCCTCACTGACCTGCGAGTGTGTGGCACACAGTTCGGTAGTCACCCCACTACTGACCTGACCTGACCTGACCTCTACTAACCTGCGAGTGTGCGGTACACAGTCCGGTGGTACTGACCTGGGATTTGGCAGTACACATTCAGTGATTAGTGACTGACCTGCGAGTGTGCGGTACACAGACCAGCGGTCACCCCGCCGCCCGGTACGTCCAGAGAAGGCAGCTCCACCAGCGACAGCAGCGAGCGGTTGTTCAACACGAAAAACTGCAGCGCAAAAAAGGAGGATATGGTTAGCATCGTTCCGTCAATACTTCGTAATGCCAACACTTCGATGACGGGTAATTCTGACATTTTCTACAACATAAATGCTGGTTTCCCTGATCAATTGGATGTTGCTCCGTCTGTGGTTTCATTAAATGTGTTCATATATTCTTACCATACATTATACAACTTTCTCATACAAACAATGACGACAACCAACTTAAAAACAAAAACACTCGAAAAAGCGTCAAGAGCCTCAGTTCCAGCCATCTCCAAAACTGCATTCGTACGTCCTTTCCCTCCTACCTCATCCTTTCTCCTCCCTCCCCTCGTGTTCTCCCTGTCCCTCCTTCCTTCCTCCTATACCTGCACGTTGGGCGCGTAGAAGATGTCGGAGCTGAGCTCGTCCGAGGCGGTCAGCATGGGCAGGTCGTCGTGTTCAGAGACCAGCGAGCCGAGCCGCACGGCGCCCGACAGCATCGGGAAGTGGTCCAGGTGGTTCACCAGGTGGGAAATCACCTGTGGGGAGACGGGACAGGGCGTCAGGTGGGGATACTAGAGTCGGGCTCAGCACAGGTCATAGCCATTATACATGGACTATCAATGTTAGATGACCATGGCAAAAGACAAGTAAAACATCAAATCCTTCCGACACAACTCAACAATGCCCGTGTGGCAGTAAACAGCTCTCATATGTATCTAATGTCTTATCTATAGGGACCGGGAACTAAGTATTCGATGCTAAAATCCTCCCCCTCCTATCCATGTCACCCTTTCATGCCACTCACAACAGTGGAAGGTGAGTCGGCAGCCATTCGAATGTAAGCTCTATAAACCCAAGACCAAAACTAGCATCCTCCTTCTCCTACATCCTATAGCTTCAGAAGTCTCCCTGCCCCCTGTAACGTCAAATATAACTCTGCAACATTACGCGCTGTACGTACCGCCCTGGCCGCCAGTTTGACGGTGCCCAGCGGAGCCGCGTCCCCCGTCACCGTCCCGCTGGACCGAGAGTCCACAGAGTCGGCCGACAGGGAACCGGCCGGCGGCGAGTCGCCCACCACCACGTGAAGTACCTGAGCGCGCGGTGGGAGAGGTTAAACGACGGAGCACAATACGACGTGTAGTACCTGGACGCACGGCGGGGAGGGTTTACGATGATATTGGAGGTCACAGGGGACAGAGAGGGGCGCAGAGAGGCGCAGGAAGGTTTACAAGGAACTGTCACAAGAGGTTAACAGAAACGGTCACAGGATGTTGACATGAACAGTCACAGGAAAGGTCACAGGGCGTTGGCAGGAGCGGTCACAGAAAGCTCACAGGAACATTCACCAGAGACTATTGTGCGATCAGACACGGATTGATGTGCACAATGCTTGAGCACAAGATCGCTTTCGCATGATCAGATCTAAACAGAGTCAAAATTGATGTAAAAAAAAAACATTTGATTAAACCACACCAGCATAGCTATTTAAGAAAACAGTATTTACGGTTTTTGAAATGTGACCGGGTTTCTTTGAGCATTTAACAGTTGGCACTATGAAGATTAAAACAGCTCCTTTAAAGTACATTGAATGAGTTCTCATACTTCATAGTTCATACTTCATAGTGCACTTACCAAAATGAATTGATAATGAAAATGAATTTATGTAATTCGTAACCTCGTGAATTATAAAAAGTAAAATAAAACAGAAAAGATGAGGAATTTCCTTTATAAAACAAAACAAAACCGCCAAAGGTGGAACTAAAAACCCGCCACCACATAATTAGTTATAATTAGTTGTGTCATCGTCATTTGAAATTCATGTGCAGTAACTACCACATTCCTAACTACACAGTTTACAAAACAAACGATAGATCACACGGGTGCAAAATGAGCATGCAAGGGCATAATAAAATGAACCTCCACCGCAAGGCAAACCAAAAATAACCCAAAAGCGATATAGAAAGGCAGAACCCAGCAAAAACCAAGGCGAAACGAAATTGTGAAGCTGAGGATTGTTCTCCCCGCACCCGGCCCGGAGCTGCGGGTCCGGGGGGGGGGGGGTGGGGGCATCTGACCGCGGCCGGAGTCGCATGCCGACCTGGTGGTAGGGATCAGTGACTGTGAGCGATATGGGAGGCTGCGGGTGCGCCGTAGCCGGCGGCGGCGGCGGCGGAGGCGCGGGCGGCGGCCCGTCAGAGGCGCCGCAATCGGTCAGAGCCTGCGGCACATACCGGCCCGGTCCGTCAGTCACACCAGAGCCTGTGTCACCGAGCGGCCAGCCCACAGACGGACAGAAGCACAACAGAAAGAACTGAGAAGTATCGAAACGAGGGCAATAAGCCACAAACAAGTGTTAACATAGGGGCGAACAAGCCACGAAAAGGCAGACAAGACGACTGGCTAGACACGAAAAATGCAAACAGGGCGAACAAGAAAGCAGTAAGAGGAAAACGACCTGACGTGGGACGCTAGACGGGCAGAAGGCCAGAGTGCACTGACAAGACAAGCTCGCGGTAATACGTTAGCACGGATCGACATTCACAAGAAGAGGTACGGACGGTAAACACACGAAAAATCTCGGTACAGGCCACTAACAACAGGGGAAACAACGAAGAGACGATCACTAATCCACACAAGGCAGAACGTCTGTTTTTTTTTTTTTTACTAAAAACAGAAAACACCAGACGAGAAGGGTACATGAGTGGTCAGGATACGACGCGCCTATTCTAGGCCGCAGAAACACGCACACATACATTAACAGACTCGGTTATCGTTAGTCACACCGTGGCGGTTACACATTAGGCTAAACACGAGCCGGGGCCAAGGCAACCGCTTATTTAGGTAGAACATTGAATAACAAACAAGACGCACAAAATACTTCCTCGGGTGAATCCAATTTTAAATAAGTCATTCGTCAGGACGGTAATCTAATGCCATAAGATCATTGTTTCGTTTCCACTGTGCGCTGGTTCTCCAAGGATAACGCCGATAACAACATAAGCAATTGACGTGACAGCGTTCCAGACTAACCAAAACACCACATACGCAAACCAGGGGTGGTTTACCAAGAAAATTGAGCCAAAGACAAAAAAAAAAACAGCGTTCTCCCAAAACACAGTGGGTATCACTGAATATGGCAAAAGTCGGAAAACTCAAGAGATGCTTAGACAATGGATTAAGTCACATAATTCATAATAGCGGTGGACAAATCCGTGAGTAAATCTGGCATTTGACGCAAGATAACTGAAAAATTAAAAGACACTTCGTGGAAACACCTGGTAATATCGTGAACTGATAAGCCAAAAACATCTTTCGTAAGTAGCAGCTATAAATGGGAACGTTTGGTTTAGTTCATTTAGCGTAACATCGACGCGGGTGTGCGAACCAAATACAAAATATCAAGACGTCATGAGACAACTATTGTTGTGCAAAGAAAAAAAGGATCTCGTTCTGCAATCAAAATAAGATCAAACGCACCGTTGGCTGTCGAACAATTCACACAATGTTAAACTACTGCATTATGACATGTTTATGGGACGTCATACCGTATCCTACTGGTACAGGGACACAACATGGTTGGGGCATATTTACTCATGAATGTATTTGCAAAGGGTGGGGTATAATGGATTCATAAGCGTTTGTACACTGTATAGGGTAGATCAAAGCATGATGAAAGGGAGGGTCTTTGAAAACAATGTGGCATTAGGTCGTTAAATGTTACATGCAAATCAGTACAATAAATGAGACATAAGTCATGACCATTCATGCATTAGAAGCTCACTTGAGGTTAGGTACTAAGCAATCATTTTATGGAGCAAAACACCATGCAGAAATATTACCAGGCATCTTTAGCGTGACAAAATGCAAAGCAAACTTCTCAGTTTATCGCATCATTCATACATTTTTACATCCAGTACCTATTTCCTACCACCTGCACAAGCTAGACATTCAGTTATATCCACGTGCTGGTGCCGGGACACAATCACACTGGTGCAGTAGCCCGTGACAGACTGCCTCAGTCTCACACCCCTCGCTGCGGCTGAGCCGGCGCGGGCACCTCACCTTGAAGACGCGCAGCAGGAGCGACTTGCCCTGCTGATCAGTCTCCGTCAGCACGTCGATCGGCAGTCTCATACACCACTCGCCCAGGCAGAACACCAGAGAGACGAGCAGCCAGCGCTCGTCGGGAGGAGGGTCCGAGCGGGCCACCACTAGCGCCTCCAGGGTGGCCGCTGTCACCTGGGGGGGGGGGGAGGGGGAGGGGACACAGTCAGTAAGGGTGACACAGCATAGGGACAGAGGTCAGTCGGCGGGTCGGAGCGGGCCACCACTAGAGCCTCCAGCGTGGCGGCAGTCACCTAACGAAGGCAGACACATGACAACAGTCAGAGAGGCTAGTCAGGGGTAGATAGCTGTGTCTCAGGAAGGGCGCGCTTGGTGAATCTGTGTTCGTTTGTTCTTTCGATGAACAGCAGCTTGCAGAACAGACAACCGCATGAGGGACACAGAACGCTTGATTGAGAAAACTGTCCCAATGAAGCGCAGCCAAACTACCTGCGTAGTGCGTACGGGAATGAATATGTTCTAACATTTTATTTTGTGAGCAAATTGCATTATCAATAGAACACATTTTTCCACGGTAAGCCCTGATCAAGCCCACCAACCATCGCCGGTCCACATTGACGCCGTCGCTCACCTCGATAATACGTTTGGGCACATCCGGCAGGTACTGGAGCAGGATGGCGGCGTGGTCCGTGAGCAGTACCAGCATGTCGGCCGCCACCTGACCCACGATCCGGCTGTTACACTGAAAACAAGGATAAGAGAGGAGGGTGATAGCGTATGTTGACAGTCACGTCCTGGCCCACGATCCGGCTGTTACACTGAAAACACGAGAGACCAAGAGAGTTAGGATATCGGCCGCCACCTGGCCCACGATTCGGCTGTTACACTGAAAACACGAGGGTAATAGTGTAAGAAGCCACCGACAGAGGCAAAGAAGGGGAATCAGCGAAGGACGCATACCGCAATGGTGATTTGCAAATGCCGCATAGAGAAAAAAATACAGAAGGTTGGTGAACTAGAGAAAAAATACACAGAAGGTTTGTGAACTACATGGATAACGACCATAACCGTGAAAAGCTAGTGCGACGCATACATTCAAACGGTACCCTCATCTAAAGACGAGCAGAAGACTTCTCACATCAGTCCATCAATTAAAGGCGCGTCAACAATTGACCACCGTCCTAGCCACTGAGTCACTCGCCGCCTTTCATTGAGAAGACTTTATAAAAAAAAAACACCACCCGACCCCGCCCTGCCCCATTCCACCATCCTCTTCCCACCTTGAGCGCGCTGAGCAGGATGTGTATGGCGTCCTTGATCTTGTCGTGCATGGTGGCGTGCGTGAGCTCCTCGTACAGGTAGATGGCCAGCGAGACGAGGGCCGTGCAGCGGGCGGTCACTGAGGGCTCGCGGCGACCCGCCTTCAGTAGCACAGACACCACGCAGTCCTGGGGGAAGGGGAGCGGGAGAGTTACAACAGACAGCATACAGCCAGTGGAGCGGGCAGTCACAGAGGGCTCGCGGCGGCCCGCCTTCAGTAAGACAGACACCACACAGTCCTGGAGAGGGGAGGGAAGGGTAAGAACAGACAACATAAAGCCCCGTGCAGCGGGTGTTTACCGAGGGCACCCGGCGGTCGGCCTTCAGCAGGACAGACACCACAAAGTCCTGTAGGAATCATTGGGGGATGGCTTGAAAGGATACCATACATTTCAGCTATGGGGGGGGGGGCGGGGGGATAAGATCAATCAGTATACGGTTCTACGAGTGGTCGGAGTTGAGTTATCTGCTTTTCAGCTGCCGTCATTCGATGATGACGACCCAGCAAAGTCCTGTAGAGCAGTACCTGTTATCCCCCACAGGTGTGATCATTATCCCCCACATGTCAGCGTACACAACCAGCATCTCCCCATGTAAGTGTTCCCTTCTCTTATTGTTTATTGGGGTTTTTGGGCGAGCCGACTGCAAAGGTCAATTTGCGCCCATGTACTCCCTTCTCCCCAATGACTCCGGCTCTCCCCAGCGCAGACTGACCTTCAGCTCGGGGCACGGTACGACGGTCATCTCGAGCGGCCGCGGCTGGAGGGCCTCCAGCTGCGGCCACCGGTTGGGGAAGCACACCAGGCTGCCCAGGATCGACACCGACTCCGTGCGCGGCACCTATCAGGGGCGGGCGGGGCAGTCAGAGGGTCAGCCGCGTCAGAGGCACAGAGGACGTCAAAGGTCAGTGGCGTCAGGGCCAAACGTCAAACGCTAACAGCATGACGGCCATGAAATTATCAGTTCTTGTGGGGCTAGGTGGTTGACTACTATCCTCCAGTCCCTGTTACCTCGTGCAGCCTCTAGCAACCCGTTATCTTCTATACCATGTTACTCATTCGTTCTGCCCCCTCACTGGCCATTATTTCCCTATTACTCATCCCTGTATCCCTGGCTGCCTCTCTCCCTCCCCAGTGACTAACCCCCTGCAGCTCCTGGCTGGCCGCGATGCCGCCACACGCCTGTATCAGGTCCAGCACGAGCAGCGAGGCGGCCGGCAGCTCTGTGGCCAGCAGGCCGGGCCCACACTGGCGGACCAGGGTGTGTATAACGTCCTGTCGGCCGGAGCTCAGCCCGCGGTGCAGCGCGCGCAGCAGCTGCGCAGACACGGCCGCCGACACGGGCGCCGGCTGTCTGCGCACCAGCAGCAGACAGAGGAGCCGCAGCGCGCGCAGCCGGCCGGCCTGGTGCGAGTCGGGCAGCCGGAGCGCCTCCAGACACCAGGGCACGAGCAGCGGCAGCGGCGGCACCAGCTCCGACGGCCACCAGGTCGACTGGTTGTCGGCAGACACGCCCAGGTTCTCCTCGATCTGGGGGAGGGTGGCGCACAGACAGCGGGTGAGTCGAGTTAGAGGCCGTACAAAGAGGGGTCGATACGTCTGGCAGATGTCAGCCAGCGGGCTCGTTGCGGTGGATGGAAGAACAGCTCGGGACGCCGGTGGAAGATAGTCGGTGGCTTGAGTACACTCGGGAGGGTCAGGACTTGGGAGAAGAAAACAGAGGACGGGGAAGGGCGTACTCTGAGACTAGTGATAGGGAAGGGACAGTAATGATGATGACGGATGGCACGTAATACACCAGCTCACTCAGCACGGTACACAGTTTTTCACTGTCACCTCACCGACCCACACAGTCACTGCGGTGCGCGGCTCCGCCCAAATGTCACACGCCGTCATGCGGTCGCGTCGTGACGTCACTGGTCAAATGTCAGCTGACGCCGCCCGGGGACAGCTGATGGGCGGCAGGCCCGCGGTACACCGGGTACATCTGGACCCGTCCGCCGGGAGCCAGGCCGTTTAGATACACACGGCCGCGGTAAATAAACGGAGACGGCGGTGGACCAACACTGTCGGGAGTTTAATACAAACGTGTCGTATAAATGAGGCATGGATATCATAATCAGAAGTGCCAGCGGCATTCCAGTAAAGACGAACGGTCGTACGGTATTTCGCTTCAGAGCAAAACCGGCAATGGCTAAACACTGAGAGCAATTTTTAGATTGCTTATGCCTGTCCCAAATAGGGCCGACAAGTGTACGTCTTTTTTCGTACATGCATTCCCAGGCCATTCACTTTGCTAATTCTACACTTATATTCAACTGGGTACTTCAACGGGCTCCTTAACCATCCGGTATTCGCCACCGCGCTCGCACGTTGAGACATCGTATCTCCAATTCCTTGTAGCCCTACCAGTCAAAGTTTGACGACCGTCCTGCCATCATCTCGCATTTAGACGAGCATCCTTCTCACCCACGTACTATGACTAGCTTCCTACCCAGGACCATCACAACTTTACTACATAGCTTCCCTCTCACCAGCATATCCTGACTATCATCCCTCCAACCCTAGTAACATGACTACCACCCGTCCCATCCTCGTACCTTGACGAGTGTCTCGCTGAGCTCGATCAGGTAGTCGAACACCTGGGCGTGTACTGTTGGGCTCTGGATGTGGTTGACGTTTCCCAGCGCTCCCAGCATGCGACGCCAGAGCACGACGGCGACGTCGGGCATCCAGCCGCGCAGAGTGCCGCCTGACATCACAGAACGGTGCTCCGAGCCGCCGCTGTCGATAGTGTCTGTAAGAGGGGTCAGAGGGGGGTCAGGAGGGTGTCAGCGGGGTCAGAAGGGGTTAGGGCGGGGTAAGAGGGGGGTCAGAGTGCCGCCCGACATCACGGAGCAGTGCTCCGAGCCGCCGCTGTCAATAGTGTCTGTAAGAGGGACCAGAGGGGGTCAGCGGGGAGCCATGAGGGTGTCAGCGGGGTCATAGGGAGTTAGAGCGGGGTCATAGGGGGTCAGATGGGGTTAGAGTGGGGTCAGAGGGGGTCAGAGTGCCGCCCGACATCACGGAGCGGTGCTGCTCCGAGCCGCCGCTGTCTATAGTGTCTGTAGGAGAGGTCAGAGGGGTCAGAGGGGTCAGAGGGGGTTAGAAGGGTGTCAGCGGGGGTCAAAGGGGTTTGGAGGAGATCAGCGGGGGTCACAGGGGATCATGAGGTTGCGTGGGAGTTCGAAATGACTGGGATTGAACTGTGTCAAAAGATTGAGCTCACAGAATAACAACGAATGAACTCTCCAGCTGATAAGCGTGACGCCATTACCTATTTCATTTCAGCCAAGACCAGCACACTATGCAGCACAAGTAATCCCAGATTCGCATCTCCCTCGGGCTCCCATTATGTGTTATTTTACCCCTCACGCGGCCCTCAGTGCCTGTCTGCCCTCACCGATGCTGTTTCCGTCAGCGCCGAACAGGTCCAGTCCCATGGGCGACTCCTTGATAGAGTTGGTCTCCAGCCCGCTGGACGGCGACGGTGACCGGGACCGGTACTCGGCCTCGGACGTCTGAGAGTACAGCGATACTGGAACAAAGAGAGGGACTGTTAGCGATACTGGAAGAGGAGATGAGAGACAATCAGTAAAGCGACACTGGAACAGGACAGTGGCATAATCAGTGCCGCAACGCTGGAAAGGGACAATGAAACCGCCAAAACGGCGACACTGGAACGGGGGGGGGGGGGCAATCAGATAGAGCTTCAACAAAGTGTCAGTGAATACAGCTGAGTCTGATGTGTTCAGTGATTTTTACAATTCACAAAGTTCATTACTCATCCTCGTTAATTCGCCAGAGTGCCTCCCCCGTCTCACCCACCACTCCATCCCTCTCCCCCGCACCAGCGTTACACTCACCTCTGCCTCTGAGTGAGTTCATACTGCGCGACACCTTCCTACTAGCTGCCTCGTGCAGCGGCAGGGGTCGGCACGCCGCTGCGGCCGCCGCCGCGCCAGGCGGGGGCGGCGGCGGCGCCAGGTCCACGGCCAGCAGACTGGGCGCCAGACTGCCCTCGGACAGACTGCGCACCAGTCTCGGCGGCGCGTGGCCGGGCCCGTGCGGCGGCCCGCCTGCCGGACCCAGGCCGCTGGTGCACCGCTTACGGGAGTGAGGGGAGACACCCGGGTGGCTGCCGCCAGAGCCTGCAGGGGGACACGGCACGGGTCAGATTGAGAGGGAAAAGCGAACATCGTATTGTTTAAATAGTTATTTAGCTTCCTCGCACGAACAAAATGCAATAAAATGCTAAAAATGAAATTGAAGGCAATGCTATGTTCATGAAGTTTACAAAATAAGAAGAAAGTAAAATAATATGTAGGCACGGGACGGGTCAGGTTGAGAGGGAAAAAAGGGAGTGAAAACTACTAGACAAGCAAAGACAACGTTAGGCCAGCCGCAAACCCTTCCAGTCGGCCATTTTACTGACCGTGATGGAGCCGGCCGTCGTCGGGCGGCTGAAGGGACGCGCGCCGGTTCCGGTTGTGCCCCACCCCCAGTCCGGGCCCGTCACCGTGGTCCCGAGTCTCGGCGGGCACCGACGGACGCGACCACGCCGCCGCCGGCTGAAACGACAGAGGACATACCGGGGATTATGTGACTGACGCCTGACGGGCTGTAATAAGAACGTCTTCCAATTTACAGGACGTTAAGATACTGGCTCAGACACCTTACTTCTATGCAATGCAAATTAGAATGTTCCATGAAAGCAAAACACTGCTGAGCCGCGGTTGTCTGTGCTCCCACATTTTCCATTACAAAATCATATGCCTAATAACCATGCATCCCGGCACGCCACCACATCCCATGGCTCACGTCTATGTATAGCCTCACAAAACTCTCTGTCTCGGTACCTCGAACCCTATCGTAGCCTCACAGCCCACAGAGAACTTCTCCCTACCACAACAGCTGCATTCCATTCACGTTCATCTAACCCCACATCCCTGTAACCCCGTCCACTCACATTACTCTAGCCCTCCAACACCTGTTCTAGCCCCGGTCATTACGTCCCTCAGGCCCCAAATCCCACATTCTCTCGACCCTCTTTCACTCACGTCCTGTGCCTCTCCCCGGCCGCGGCGTCGTTTGCTCTTCTGTTCCGTCAGCCGGTCCAGCGGCAGGTTGTTTAGGTCCAAATCGTACACCTGACGCGCCACCACGCGAGTCAGCGTCTCCAGTGTTTTCTGCGAACGCAAGAGAGCGGCATCGGTCAGACGAAAACAGACAGGTCAGCAGAGGAGATTGAGTAATACGGATGAATATTCTAAGACATATCAACCAACATTATTATTCATTTGAAAAGGTACAACAATTAAGTGATCAAAATCGGTAGTCCGACAAAACACAAGGTCCGAGGGAGATTGAATTAGAAATTTGGTAAAAATCCGACGTAAGATTACTACAGGGAAAAGGTTACAATAGCATTGAAAATCGATAATTTACCGACTATTCACCCCCGCACAATCTATGCTCAGTGATTTGGCACCCCCCAGACGTGCCGCAGTACTCACCGCCCACTCCTTGATGAGCTCCTCCCAGGCGGTGAGCGATGTGAGCGCCGCCAGAAACTGGTCCCACAGCTCCACACTCACAGAGACGTTCAGGTTGGCCTTGACCCAGGTCACTATCAGCGTCTGTAGCAGAGAGGTCAGGTCAGTTACAGAGGCGTTCAGGTTGGCCTTGACCCAGGTCACTATCAGCGTCTGTAGCGAAGAGGTGAGGTCAGGTCAGCTGTCCTGTGCCAGCGGTGGTCGGGTCGGGTCGGGTCATATCGGGTTGGGCCAGGTCAAGCCAGGTCAGGTCCATGTGTCTAATTGCACCCGTCGGGCCGGTCGGATCTCGTTAGCACACCTTTGCCCCCCCCCCCCCCCTCGGAAATTATTGGCGCCCGTCGCGTGTTGGACCGTCTCGGCCGGGCCGCCTCACGGCTCCACTGGAAGCCCGAGGCTCAGTCCTCACCTAGTCTTAGGCCAACGACCGGCGGGCACCGCCCACACTGGCGGCGGCGACCGCGCGGTCACGCCTTTAGGAATCGTAACGCAGCTTCAGAGCAAAACCCCGCAGACACGCTTCAATTTACGTTTAGAGGAAAACAAAGCAACCAAGAAAAATCATCCCGTCTTTAAAAAATACATAAAGGAAGAAAAAAATGAAAAAATAATAGCCATACTTCGTTTAAAATACAAAGTAAAACAATCGCGTGTCTAGAGATTCGAAGTAAGCAGTGGCGCTTACCTGGAAGAGCGGCCGAGCCAGGACGGCGCCGAGGGTCTGCTCCCGGGCCCTCTGAGTCGGTTCGCCCGATAGGGTCTGAGTGGTGACCTGGAGCAGCACCAACAGCAACTGCTCCCTGTAAAAGGAGTCAGGACGGGGACTGAGTGGTGACCTGGAGCAGCACCAACAGCAACTGCTCCCTGTGAAAGGAGTCAGGACAGGATCTGAGTGGTGACCTGGAGCAGCACCAACAGCAACTGCTCCCTGTAAAAGGAGTCAGGACGGGGACTGAGTGGTGACCTGGAGCAGCACCAACAGCAACTGCTCCCTGTGAAAACGGCGGGCAAAAAAGGGTTGGTAAACTGGAAGTAGCACCGCAGCACGACACACTCTGCTCCCTACGAAACGGAAGGGTGATGGTCCGGAACACGCCACGTGGCGAATACACCAGCTGTTGCTTCCTACGAACTAGCATGGGATGACAGCTGGCGACACAGCCAATGAACACTTAATCGCACAGCCTCGCAGTTACGACCAAGCACGATTCTCCGGTCCTTTCAATAATAACACCACGCTAACAAATCGGCCGGTACCCCGACTCACCAGGTGCGCTGCGACATGTAGACGTTCATCACCAGGTAGCGGTACATGTTGAGGATGCGCTTACAGAGCTCCACCTGGTCCTCCAGATAGTGTCCGCGGTACTCCGGGCTCGCCTCCAGCAGGAAAATGTTGGCAGAGTTGGTGATAAACAGCTGCAGGGTGTTCTGGTGGAACAGACGGGTGGGCGACGGTTAGAAGCAGTGTCCCAAAATTTGTCAATTTGGGTGGAACAAGACATCCAAATGAAAATAATTTTCCACTCCCACCTCCAACTTTCAAGAGCAATTTACCACTCATGAAAGAGCATCTGCTTGCGCTTGCATGATCGCATCAGATTCTACCATTGTACAGAAAAGTGTGCAATCTTTCCTTCTTCTGTTCTTTATTTTCGGGGGGGGGGGGCTTATCTGATCAAGAATATACCACCCTCATACCTTTTTTAGAGGAATTTTCCCCTCTAACAACCAAACATTAATATAATTTTGTGACACTGGTTAGAAGCAGTGTGAGTTTTGCGATGTAGCGGAGCAAATGAATCCCGAAACAATGCTGAATGATAAGGTGTCGATTTCCCTGGCGTCCAAGCCAGGCGATCCAAGAAAAGTCGCCCTTAGTACCACGAAGACCCAGGCGTGAGATCGCCAAACATAAAATTACGGGAACAGTTAACGTCACCACTAACCCTCCTACGCTATCAATAATAACGTTGCGGTATCAACAAAACCGCGGCAGTTTGAGACACGTCAAGATTGCACACTTCCTAAAAACACTGTGTTATGATATGATGCTGTGTTCGACGTAATTTACCGTAAATGTTTCCCGTCCCTGTTGGAGGCTGCAGTTTGCATTAGGTATTCCAAATGACGTCAAACCCTGCCAGCTCCCAATCGTCCACATATCTGACACAGATCGACCAGAGAAAAGTATGCACGCCAGTCGCCCGCTGACCGATTTTGTGATACCATTGTTCACCCCGCACTCGCTGGAGCTATTGCGCAATTCCCGCCGAATTTTCCCGGCTGTCACCGACTCTCAGCTGGGTGCGGGCGGCAGGGAACAGCCCCGGTGCGCCGAGCTGTGTCCGTGTCCCAGTCGGGGGACAGTACTGACCTGCAGGCCGGCCCGGACGCTGGCAGACGGTCCTCCAGAGCCGTCCGCGCGGTGGCGGGACCGGCTCAGGTCACCCACGTCCTGCCGGGACAGGGCAAAGGGTCAGAGGGTGAGGCTTCATCCACAGACAGGGACGGCGTGGGGGTTGAGTAGGAAAAGCATTGATGATCATGATTATACTGTATACAGCGTGAGAAAGAAGGACGAACATCATGAAATTACGTGCTTACCACTAGCCGGCTTACGCAGTAGAAGAGAATAACTAGTTACCAGATTGGTCCTATTTTTTCATCGCACCTTATGTCAGACGTTACTCCACGCTCCCACTAGACCTGCATCTCTTTGGGTCACATTTCACACATCCCTCAACATGACCTGTGCCCATGAATCCCCTGGGATATATCTCACTCCCATCATTATTCTCACCTCTCCCGGCGCCGGTGACCTGCCGTCATATCCGCCGCCCGTGTCGGATGGCTCTAGTAGGAACGCCGGCAGCTGAACCTGTCAAAGAAACAGCACACATGTCACACTCTGAGAGACAAACCAACACGTCCGCCGGTGTCGGATGGCTCCAGTAGGAACGCCCGTAACTGAACCTGACAGCCAGTAAACACACAGAATATGTCACACTCAGACAGAGTGTGAGCGTATCAGCATTTCCAGTACAGACCGTCACTCGCATCTTGGAATATTTCCCTATCAACGCCTTTAAAACAGAACTGTCATAATCCATTAGAGGAGGCCCGAGTCTGACAGTCACATACATTGTCACACAATTTATTGTTACGTTGTTACAGAAAGCGTATTCTGTCACCAACGGCAACACAGAAAGGCAAAGCAGTGGAGGACGGTCTTGAAGAAAGCCCACATCGTCAGACGTCACAGTCCTCTTGTCTTTGTAAAGCTCGTTTTGTGTCATCTTCATCCGACATGTCATCATCATTTCATTATACACACATCCCGTCCCCGAGCTTCCATCCACACAGCCTGGCTCCAGATTCAGAGAGACCAGCTGACAGACAGCACGACACAACAAACTCCCAAGCTAGACATGACCCAGCCAGCCGCCCCATCAGTCGTCTAAGACAGTCATCAACCTTTGTAGCTGCCAACCACCGCGGTCACGTCATCTCCACAATTCCTACACCTCGGCCTCACTGACACATCTCGGTCCCGGGGAGGGGCGGTACAGGGGCTCTGTTTGGTTAGAGGCAACAACCGCTGTGCGAGCTGCCAAGGTAAACTGATACCGTGTGTGGGATGACACACGTCCGGTGGCGAGGGATTGGCCCAGGGAAGGTGAGTGAGTAAGATCATGAGGTGAGAGGGTCGAGAGAAAATGAGAAAGGAGATTAACTAAGGAATTGGGAACTGCAGCGGTAGAAGAGTTGGTGATAGGGCTGGTATAATTGTAGCTTGACAGGGCAACGGGTGATTTTTTTAAGGTAAAGTAGGTCAAAGTCATGCAAGCCTGCAGTCTGCATCAGTGTGCAGTGTCTGCAAGCCCGTCATTGCAACAGGCCCATCAAGGAAATCCGGAGACACTGAAGTTGTTAGGAGAAATAAACGTTATAATCCATCTAAGAATCCCGTATGCACCCTGAACCCCCCCCCCCTACAATCGCCCCTCCTTCCCTCCGTCCCTCCCTCCCCACTCTCTCCTCATCCCCCCTCCCTCCCCCCTCCGTCACTCACGTTCATCTGGATCCAGTCCTTGTAGACGAGCACCACACGTTTGATAGCGGCCGAGTAGTGACAGCTGAGCAGGAATGCCTGCCGGAACACCTCGTGCACAAAGTTGACGTTCTGACGGCTGCCGAACAGCACATCCCGCACCAGCGCCGACTCGTCCGGCCGGTCAGCGTCGCGCTCCCGCGTGTCACTGCCGGACGGCAGAGCAGGGGCCAACAAGGGGTCATGGAAGGTCAGCAGAGGTCTGTAGGGGTCATCAGGGATCGCGGAGCTCATAAGGTCACCAGAGGTCATCCAGAGGTCGCGAGAGGTCAACCAATGGTCACATGAGACCATGAGTGTGACACCATGCTTTTTATTTACATAGCTTATACGAATGTGAGCGTAAAAAAGTAATCAGCTTTACAGTTACTGTAAAGCTGTATCTGCAAGCTACTGTAGCTTGCAGGATAGTAAATAGCCGGCGGGTCATATCCAGCCAGGAGCATTGCGTACAAACTGTTCCAGGAAGGAAAGTCAAGGTCAAAATACAACACCGTCCCACATGTCTAGGTCTGGTACTGGCCCTGAGAGCCGGCGTAAAGTGCAGTCAATTTCTGAGCCACTGAAGCAGGCCATCCAATATACAGGCATCACTCGTCACTGTCACGGCTAGATGGCCGGCGTGGGAGATTGCCAAAGCCAAGCTATTCGCGATGATGAACTCCAGCCCAAGCAACAGATTTAGCCAAACACTGTAAGCATGCATGACTTGCTCAGGGCCTAGCGGCTAGCGCTCGGTCAATGGCAATGAAAGAGTGGTTAGCTCCCGACAGGACACGCTGACGTAATCGCCTTATTATAACTCCCCCAGACCCCAGTAAGTCAAGCTGGAGTAAGAAATTTGAGACCGTGTCATTAGCTAATATATGGTAGAGCTAATATGCCACAGCAAACGATCAATGTTGCGGGTTACAGAAGCATGCGGTTAGTTGGATTGGCGCATTGATAACACAATTGTAATATCGGGGATCAGCCCCAATAGAAAACTAACGACAGGCCAGAATGGAAACATGTCGCTACAATTACGTACTTTTGTTTGAGACTTTTTGAGGAGGTCATTATTGTAAGTAGCTATTCATTTGTGCAGCGTCGATGCAATGCCTATCGGAATACAAAGGACTTCTACATAGTGCATACATACATGCATAGTATTAGCCACAAAGCATGCAACTGAAAGTCATTACGCACTTTCTAACAGCTGTATGCAACTATGCACGCAACTATGCTGTCCATTTTCAATTTTTCCAACCAAATCTACGCCACGCACCGTGCACTCCCCCCCCCGGCCCATATCCCCCTCCCCCGTCGTACACCGGGTAAAACGCCGAGCCGCTCGAGTCCGAGGCTAGGCTGTGCAGGGAGGTGGGCGCCTCGCCGTCGGCCGGTCCGCCGCCGGCCGGGGGTACTGAGCGGCGCGTCTCCGGCGTGCCCTGACTGCCGTCGTCGCCGGAGCCGCCGCTGCCGCTGGGGAGAGAGGACGGACCATAGCCGGGACGGTCACACACGGACGGACACGGTGGACGGACCTGAGACATAGATACGGACACAGAGATACGGATACTGACCCTAGACACGGACACGGAGACAGAACCCAGACGCAGACACGGAACGGACACGAATTCCTGCAACGGACGCGGAAACGGGGACAGACTGGGGCCCAGACACGAGCACAAACCATAGATACGCACGCGGATACGGAAATTCCTATAATACTGACAGGGTTACGATACTCTAACGTTGGTAAATGCACTAAGAGACAGCGCCGGTTCTTCATTTGACCGTAGATCAAAAGGCAACCAAGCCGGATGAGTCAAAACGACAAAAAGGTAGCAAAAAGTATTAAGATGCTAATCAAAGAGCCCAAATAATATAGAAACATCGTCCAGCTGATATTGATATCAGCTGGACGATGTTTCTATCATGAACATTTATGTGGAATAATTTTCAATAGTAGTTATTCATAGCTACCTTACGTTTCCGACTGTAAGGTTGCCATCGAGGCAAAACATAATACAGGCCGTCAGAACATAAAAGCAGTAAAAAGTGAGGCGTGGAAAAACGCATGAAACTGCTTACCATTTCGCACAAACCAGTAAACTAAAATAGCACCGATACTGTAAGTGCAAACCCATGCCACTGAATCTTGTGACCATAATTCCGAGCGATTCCCACGCATCCAGCGATCCGTGAAAACCACCGATTCGGCAGCCCGTGAGAAGACAGCAGGGATAGACTGCCGACCGCTTCCGGCGCTGTGGATTGCCAAACCCCCAATCGGGGCTCAGTGCAGCGATTTCACGCCAATTGAAGATGAATGGGCTATGCAATGAGCTTCGACGCTTGTCAGACAACGGCAACTGAGCTATGCCTAAACTGGACAATTGTGAACTTCTGAGGAGACTGCACTGAGCACCCGTATCAACATTGTTCTGTGCCAGCATCAAATGTCATCGATTGAGTTTCAGCAAAGTCTGTAGATACCGCGATAGGGTATACATCCATTATCTATCGCTTATGACGAAGGCCACACAGATACCAACGTCAAAACGTCACACTAGTGACCCATTCATTCCATTAAAACCACCGAACAAAGCCAACAAAGCACACCAAACGACAGCGCGGAACGAATAAACCCGGAGGTACGACCAAAACCCCATCCTCCCCCCCCCCCCCCACACACACATACACGCACACAACTCTCACACAGCCTCTGAACAACCCGGACGTACAACCAAAGCTTCCTCCTGGCCCTCACTACCTTTGGACAGGCCGGACGTACAACCAGAGCTCCCCGCTCCCTCCCTCCCCCACGCCTCCCCACTCTCTCGTCCTCCCTCGCTCACCCGGACTGCTGTCCATGATGTCCGGGGCCGGGCCCGCTGGGCGCCTGCTCCCCTCTCCGACTGAGCGGCGCGTGTACAAAGTTGGCCACCCAGCGGATCACCACGACTCGACAGGCCACCAGCCGGTCGGCGGGCCGCGGCGCGCCGTCAACAGAGCTGGCCATGGGAGACAGCTGGCGGCGCATCTCGGGCAGACCTGGCGCATAGCGGCGGTGGGGTAACATAACGGGCAGAGTACCACAGCCAGGCGTGCTGAATGGTCGTGGAAGGTCTTCAAGAGTCACTCTAACCCTCATACCCTACTCATTGACCTACTGTCAGCAACGCCAATATTGTAAACACATGTATGTCAACTTCAGTTCAGCCATCATATATTTCAATTCAATATTCACTGATAAAGTTCGGGGACCATGTCCCATTCCCTTCGCTACATTGACCTCTCCTCTGTCCCTCCCTTTCTCCGTTTCTTCTCCTTTCAATCCCTCTCCTCGACCCTCTCAGCCACTCACTGAGCGCCGGTTTGTACAGATTGGTGTGCCAGTTGAAATCCGGAAAGATGTGAGGCAAGTAGAACTGCTTGAAGTTGTCGAACAGGAAGTTAAAACACCGCACGTGGTTGGCCTTGTCCTTCCACTCGATCCGCGTCAGCTGGTGAACGGAAAAGTGACGTCATAAATCCCATCAGTAACGTCATAAGATAATAAACGCACATGCCAGTCGGGTAATGATGTAACCGGAGCAACTGACAGAGAGGATAATGAAGTCACTGGACGGCTCGATACGATAATGACGTCACAGGCCCGATCAGGGGTGAGTCACTGTGCGGACAGCCGGTCGACGCCTGGTGGGCGGGGTCTGTTTGTTCACGGGGCGCGCCGTTTGCCGACACGACATTACACCGCGGTCGCCGCGGGTTCCAGCTAGTCTGCACACACAGGCCAGCGGCGGAAACAGGCCCGGAGCCGATAACATGGTCACGGCCGTATCAGCACAGGCGAAAGTCATGAAAGGCAACACCTCAGCTGAATAGAGATCTTAAGATAAAGCACCAGGGTTTACATTTCAACAGGTGCACTGCATGTTCCGCGATTATGAAAAGCCACACACACAATGAGACGCGCTAATTTGAATTAACTAGACACACTGACCGGTGACCTACGCTGACCTGCGTTGACCTACCTGGGTCACCATGTTATCCATGAGGCACTCGAGGAAGAAGCGGGTCAGGTCGTCGGGCGTTTTCTCCGAGCCCTGAGGTGGCAGGATCGGCACCACGTCGACCGGACCCACTGGAACGGCGGGGATGGGACGTGTCAATCTATCGGCTGCCGGCGTCAACCTCATACAGCGCAATCACAAAGTAGACAGCGAGCATCCAATTCGCGCTCCGATTTTCGAGTAAATCTCAATTAAACTTGCAGCGGCAATTTCACTCACACTTATTCCGATTTTTTTTTTTTTTAGTTACACAGTATACTGTAACATAGGTCCAGTACACAAAGAAAGTGGTTCAGCGGAAGACAATGACAATTGGCATTTTACGCATACTGTCTTCAAAAACAAACATACCACCTTCATGACGACATGACGTCTAATTCCCTCGGCCGGCTGAGTCCTGCCCCGCCCACGGTGTCTTATCACCACACCCATCGCGGCACATACACCTGCGGCCGATAAGACCGGGCGGCGTTTCCGGCTTCCGCGCCGCACAGTCGTGGTCGCGCTCTGTTTCCCTGAGGGAGCCGGCCCCACCCGCTCGGCCAGACCCCGTCGCACTGGTAACTCTGTCAAGCCCGGTCTCCTCAGGAGCTGAGTTTTGTAGCTGATTATTATATTTACATCAGTGCTAGAAAAGTAGGTAGCACCGCCGGCCACTCGACCGGACCCTTAGCCTTGCTGCCGGTACCTCTGTCAAACCCGGGTCTCCTCAGAAGCCGAGGTTTGACAGTGGCTATTTCCATTCCCCTCCCTCTCCTGCCAGCCCAGTTGCTGAGCGCTCACCGAGCTTATGATCCGGGTGGGCCCGGGGCGGGCGGGGCGCCGTCTGCTGAGAAGCCGGCGCCGGGAAACCGGGCACCAGGGTGGCAAAGATGGCCAGCAGCTCCTCAGAGGCCTGTTCGCCCACCTCCTGGAACCAGATGACGAACATCCTGCCGACGGAGAGGTCAGAAGTTAGGGAGGTTAGGTCAGAGGTCATCCGGCGCATCACTGACCGCATCCAGTCACAAGTCGGTCACCAGCAGACTCATTTAGAACCCTTCAATTGTGGATCAGCCGTCACGAGATAAACCATAAACCGCCATAAACGAAATCATCAAATATTAGGTACTGTCTAATCTCTCGCTCTGCCACCAGTCAGATATCGAGCCGTCACGAAAACGTCACTCGGTGACTGTGTCGTCACACACCACTCCGTCACGGTAGATACCCGTCACGAATCGGTCGGTCACGGCACCGTCGTCGCACGGCCGTTTCATAGCTCCGGAACACGTCTCACGGACTGGTCACGGATGTGAGTCCCGAACCACGAACACATACAAACTCTGCGGCCAGCGGCAATTCAAGGTCACAGACGACTCCTGCGAACCGTGAAGGTCTACCCTTACGGTGGACGTTTTCACTTTCTAAATTCATGTTTTTCAACTCCTCAATGTAAATGGAAACGTTTCCGAATAATCCCTTGCAGATAAAAGCACCGACTAAATTGGAATTGTGTGATGCTTTTCTAACAATATCTTGTTCCGAAATAACAAATTAGCGTTCCAAAAACTTAACTGTTTCGAAGAAAATGTACTGGAAACGATGTAACGAACGCCAATATAAAGGTTAAGGCCTGGCGGTTAAGAAAATAACTCTAGATTTCGAATAGTTAAACTGTCGTTCCCGTTCGTAGAGGTTTGTGTGGTTTTGAGACAGCCCACGGTCACTGCAGCGACCCACTCCAGAATTGGACGCACTTTCAGTTCACGGCTGAGCCGAAACAATGCCCAGTTGATAAGGTCGATCACCGCCCGGCGAAACCGAGCCAATTCAACATACAGACCAACTATTAACCCGCGCCCCAATGGGGTCTGCGTATAACACGCCCTACGGGGGGGGGGAGCTATTCATAGCCCCCCCCCCCCTCCTAACTCCGAAACTACTGGGCCGATCGTCAAAATTCAAACGGCGTCTGATAGCCCCGGAAAAACTGTCGAGCGAAACCTAATTTCATTGACCTCGAGGTCACCGATGACGTCACAGGTCAGGTCAAAGTAAAAACTATTAGCATTTTGGCTTGTTCACGTTTTGGGCTCTGGCCGCCGTCTTACAAGTCAGATCAGGCTCATTTTTGGTTCGCACACTCGTGAACGGATGCTCTAGATACCCTGAGGGTACCAAACTTGTACTTTGATTTTCAGGTCAAGGTCAGGTCATCACAAGTCACGAAAATATTATATCATGCGTCGGTCACGTGACACATGTTTTATGGTCCATTTAGGCCAAAAATTTCGAATTTGATGTCGTCTGTGTCATTCGAGGTCATTTTGAGTCAAATTTAGCTTAGGTCAGGTCACTTTCAGGTCAAAAAAGGTCAAATTTTGAAGTTAAAATTTTTCAACAAAAAAGGTGTCTATTGGATGCAGTTTGAGCTCAGGAACACGATGGTGCTATTTATATTGCCGTACGATGTCAAATACGTGCTGAAAAATTGATTTGAAAAACTAATAATTGTGAAATTTTTGCAATAATGCGTATAACTTGGCCATTTTTGAAGATATTTAGCTGAAACTTGCTAGAGTTAGTTATAATAATGCGTTCTATCACATATATTCCGGTTTTTTCGAAAATACAAAAACTTTTTGAAAAAATGTAAATATATAAATTTTGAATTTTATTATATTAAATTTTCGAAATTTTCAAAATTTCGATAATTCGAGATAGCAGTTTGATAGCGCAGTCTATTCTGAGTCCTCCCATGCAAAGAAATTGGATCTAGCTTAAAAACTGAGCTCTTGGGAGCGATTGCCGTGGTTCAATGTTTTGCGTCGAAATCGGCCGAACATGACGTCACTCTGACGTCATTTCCGGCCGACCTATGGTAGGTACGAAGCTCAAATTTTGACACAAGGTGTCAAATTGATGCAGCCGAAGGTACTGAAAGTTTGGCGTCGATACGTCAAGCGGTTTGGAAGTTATTGCAGAAAAACGGGAGGGGGGCTATGAATAGCCCCCCCCCCCAGTGGGGCGCGGGTTAACGGAGCGGGCGATTATGCCAGGACCGTGCTTAGGTGCTCAGGTGCTCAGGAGTCCGTGAAGAATGTCCCAGTGCGATGAGAAACCTTTCCCGCAGTGCAGCACGCATCCTAAACCACCATACAAACCTCGAGTGTTGTTGTAAATATCAGCAGCATATCCCTAGTCCCTTTCAGTCAGCTGAAAGTATCCTCCGCGTTTCCAGTAGCTTTGCTGTCCCGTCTCAAAGGCCACCGTACCCCGTAGGTACTCCCTCCCCCCGAAACACAAACGCTCTTCCCCCTCCCGGCAGACTCACCTCATGGCCTCCCTGCGCAGCCGGAGGATGTTGCCCGGATGGAGGAGGGTGCGCATGACGCGCGTGAGACTGTGGAGCTGCCAGCGCTGCTGCAGCAGCTCAGGCAGCAGCAGCAGGATGTGCTCCAGGATGTACAGTACAGACTCCACGTCCTCGCGATGCACGCGGTGCGCTGTACGGGGAGAGGGGCGTCAGAGGGGTCGAGTGGGGGGGGGGGGGGACCACTCCGGGTACTATAGGAAATCCGAGCTGTCAGCGGAGTGGGGTGAAAGAAGCAGTGTGACATCACACAGAGGAATGAGCTGTAAGACCTATGATACGAAAGAATGCTACAGCCTACATAGATGGAATTGGAAGACATAATCCTCGGGAAGCAAAGAAAAGATGGCAACAGTCAAAAGAGAGGTGGGTTTCCGAATCAACTGTTACGACGAAAAACGAACAATTTAAAGACAAAAAGTTCGAATCCCAATAAGATAGCACTCATGGGAGACTCACGTTTGATTTTGACGCCGGCCTCGGTGGCAGCGAAGACATCGTAGAAGAGATAATAGATGTGGCTGTAGTGGGTCTCGAAGATGTACCGCGCCTCCACCAGGTCGACGTTCTCTGAAATCACCGGCGCGATGGGTGTCAGAACCGAGCGTAATTCGGACAGGGGACGGCACTGTTTCAAATGGACATGGGTGGGAAAATGCCACCCCAACCCCTGAAAGCTAGAAAACAAGGCATTCAGCAACGCAGCGATAAACAGAGAGCGACCTTCCAAAAAGTGGATTGTGGAAAGAACTTCTGTCCTTTTCGCTGCGTACAAAACAGCGTTATTAGGCTCTTAGGGGTCATCCAAAGTCAAACTTTATGGATTATGTACCGTATGGATTAGGATTTATGGATTAGGTAACTTTATGGATTGGGTCATTCAAAGTGACCTGGTGACCTGACCTTAAAAGTTAGGAGGTTCAAACTTGCACACCATGTGTAAAATTGATGAGAGAATAGTCGGACCAAATTTCATAGCGCCGCCGGTTTTCCCGCTATTTGCGAAAAACCTCAGGGGGGGGGGGGCAGATATCCGCCCCCCCCGTCGGTGCGCGGGTTAAGCGCCTGACCCACTGTGAGTTACCAGGCACACATTGACGTCATGAATTCAAAATGCACCGGTATACTCATTGCCCTCACCCACGCACGTCACGTGATGCCATCCAGCACACTGAGGTTTGGAGTGCACGCCCTGGTTCTTTCCATTGTGCGGTACTGCATGAGTGTGTACGGGACGTGTGGTGTGACACAGATGACTCGCGTACAGAAGATCATCAACTTTTGTGGGCGGGTCGTCAGCGGTCGCAGACGCAGTGACCACACCTCCGATGTCATCGAGCGGCTCGGCTGGCTGCGAGCTGATGAGTTACTGTTAACGCCAGACCCCTTGAGACCCTAATTTTTCGCGATTACTTTTAAATGCGTGAAGGAATTTCAACCAAGCTCAGGACATGGCCGTTTCAAGACAGGCCGAAACTTTTACAATTTAGATATTTTATCGCCATTTCAATATTTCAGGCACTTGTCATTGACTCGTAATGTTAAATTTCGAGCAAGATTTTCATCCGGTGTGTAGAGGCTATCACCAGTCAGTCTGTGATACGTTATGACGTCACAGCTAAGCCCCGCCTCTGTGGTCTTGGCCTGCGGCGGTTTCGGGCCGGCGCGCGGTCACTCTCGCTGTGGCGGGGAGCGGGGACGGGCGACGGTCGAGCGGTGCCGAAAGCCGGCGGAGTTGTGCGTAGCGTCTTGGCTGACAGTGCCCAGAGAGCGACATGATGACTAAGGAGTCATAAATGCTCAATGCGCATTGCTTCTACAATGCTGATATGTTCGCTGATATATTTTTTTATAAGCTGCAAATGACGGGCAGATGGCATATAACTGACATAAGGTTAGGAAATATTCACCTGTATTTAAAGCCTATGGCGTTGCAGATAATGCGATAATGGGATGTCGGATGTCACCAAGTAGCTGCCGATTTGTACATCGCTATGCAACCATCGAACAACGCAATAATAAGTTAATTGCCTGAGCTTCACATCATACGGCTCGCTCGTATTTCAAACAGATACCCTACATCGAAAATCGTATTTGTTAGGAATCGTTAACGTTTGTTCGAAGCACGACTGAGTAGTAGGTTGAGGAGTGATGGTCCTCTTGGTCCTATATACAAGAGTCAACAAGAGCCTAACATTTACTTGACCGTCTGCTGCAATTGACTCATAGCACGTGAAGCGTCAGCGAAATTCATAGTCCTTCACAGATGGCAGGGGAGACGTTTGTACAGAGGTCGCTGATGGGCACGGGTCAATGCCGCAGTCGTGGGCGGAGCCTAATGTCATATGACGTAGAAAGCCTCTATCCAGGATGGAAAAACAGTTAACATTACGAGTCAATGACAAGTGCCTGAAATATTGAAATGGCGATAAAATATCTAAATTGTAAAAGTTTCGGCCTGTCTTGAAACGGCCATGTCCTGAACTTGGTTGAAATTCCTTCACGCATTTAAAAGTAATCGCGAAAAATTAGGGTCTCAAGGGGTCTGGCGTTAACAGTAGCCGAGTACCACACCATCTGCGCAGTCCAGCGAGCTATCACCACGAGAACTCCTGAATATATCAGCCAAACCATCGGTCCATTAGCCCGCGACCTACATGACCACAACACAAGGCACGCCGGCAGATTGACACAACCACGACCTCGAACCGAGACGGGAAGGCGCTGACTGTGTATCAAGGGGGTCTCGATGTTGAACGACATGAACTTGGATCCGAGGTTCCGTCCAAGGCGCCATCGTTCCGTCGAGAGGCAAAAAACGCGATTCTTACCAGACGTCACTGAGATGGTATTGGTGTGAATGTCGTGTGCGTGATTTGTGTGTGCTATGATGATGTCATGCCCACTTAACCCATGTTTTATCGGTTTTATCTGCTTTACGTATCAGATGAAAAGCCACTTTTTGCTGTGGACCCTCGATGAATGCATATCTGATTCTGAATCTGAATCAACAACCTCAGATTCTTTCGATGCAACTTATTAGGTGTATCTAACATACATGATAAATTGTCCGCATTTGACTACTTGAAGCGATGGAGCGGTCATGCCCTTGCCATTGGCCGTGCACAACTCGAAACCCTCCCATTGACCGCGCTCATCTCTTTCACTCTACCGACTCGCATAGCTGAGCGGTGCGTTTCATGTTGTAACAGTGCGAACTTCCAGGCGTGATTACGGGACGACCAGCACTGGCAGAGTCCGTTCTGACCACCGCACACCCAATTTATTGTGAGAGCACATTGAATTACATGTTGAAGCTCCAACAATGTTTTTTCTTCAATCTTCCTCATTTACCTCGTCTGGTCTGTTATGTCCGTTGCTAAGCCAATGCCGCATCACACTACTAATCCACACCGCACCTCACCAAATCCACACCAGCCAAACAAGCCCGCACCTACAAGATCTCATCGAAATTGCCATACTTTGCAGACTGGAGCAATGGGAATCTTCCTTTCTTATCCTGGTTATGTTTCTTATTCAATATTTTGGTGATATGTAAGCATCATATCTAGATTAAGGATGTCAAAAAATGGAAGAATGTTTAAAATTTACCAATGAAAAAAGTTGGTCCTAAAGTAAATACTACTTACTTTATGAATAGGTAGATACTGTTGAATAGGATCAGCGCAAAACAATCAGTAAGAAAACTTGGCATTGGTAGAGCAGACGTCACACGAAGGTTTTCCAACCGTGGAGGGGCGCTGTAGGTTTGTAGGTTGTAGGGTAGGCTTGTAGGTTTGTAGGTTGTAGGTTTGTAGGTTAGGTTAGGTCAGGTTAGGTTAGGTTTGTTCAGGTTTTCCTAGAAAGAAGCACCACCGGGTATGGCGCCTCTCCTTGGTTGGAAAACCTTCGTGTGACGTCTGCTCTACTAATACCGAAAACTTACCTAATATTATGCGCAGGTGTTTCAAACGTGTGGCTGAGTCCTTTTTGGTGTCAAGAATCTTTTGGATTGACTTCTTGACATCAACGGCTGCATGTCCCTTTTTAGCAAGGTTGAACATGATGAAATCCCATGTGGTTGAGTATCTTCAGCCTGTAATTAGGTTTCCTCACATGGCATAAAAAACCCTGAACTACGATGCCCTCTCAACACAAAACTTCCAGTGACAGTGAAGGTCACCTCTTGAATTGAATCACTCTGAATTGGAATTGGAATAGCAACGAAAGGAACCACTCTTCGTCACGGCGACTGTCATGAATCAAACTGAAATTTTATTCAAATATGAAATTCAAACACATAACGCAACACCTGCCACTGCCTTGCACCTGCCGAACTTCTTCGATCGTCATTTCACGCCGCAGCTCCTCCCATTTTCACCATTTTTGTCACGAAATTGTGAATAACTTTCAAGGATAATGTTTTGTCATATCTAGGACTTTCAAAAGTAATCTTCTTGTAGAGTGACGTCATGAACATTTGAACATTTTATTTTATACATGCTAAGCGATTTCTCTTATCACAATTGATTGTTTTATCCCATATACGTCGTTTTTTCCAACTTTAAAGAAGTACGTAAGTCCTACCGCTACAATAAATGCACTTTAGATTTCTTAGCGATTTCCTGAAATCCTGACGTACGTTGACGTAAGCTATTTTTCATGTTTCATTCAATAGATGTCAGCACAAGTTTACGCCTGAAGTTATGCTATGCCGCAATACATTACCTCAGCTGATTACTGTTTTTAGGGCCTTGGTTGATTGAATGAAGCGTTTCACAGTCAGGGGCTTCCCCGACGGGGTTCGGGGGTCACGGACACGATTCACCCACTTCTAAAAACCGGGGGTGTCATCCATAGGCGTCGCCAGAGATTTTCGGTTGGGGGGGCAAAATCAACTTTTGTGTTAAATCTTGCCTTTCTCCAGTCGTTACTCATTTATTTTACATATCATTCGACTTGTAATGGTGCGAGGAATACGATGGTGACAATGTTTTCCTTCTAGCTATATGACATGTCATTTTTTACAGAAAATTCAAAATTTTGAAATTTTTGGACAAAAAAACACGACCGGTAGAATCACAATGGCTGCGATTGCCAACGCACTCTAGAGAGCCCCCGTTCAGACGCTCGTCGCTCATGATCATCACCCAGAAAAAAAAGGTTAAAAACGCTCAAAAATCGAATCACCTTGCTGAAACCTTCATTCAAGCATGCATGCAGTCGCAGAGGTTCTACGTGAAATGCATAGGGCTTATCCCAGCCGCCGATTGTAGCTATGCAAGTTGGGCTTTCGGCGGAGATTGAGTGTCGGAAGTGTGGATCGGAAGTACCTAATTCATCTTTGCTTCAGTGAGAGGAGGTATTTTGTTCACACGAGAGTGTAAACAAAAAGTTTCTCGTTTTTCGTGTGTAGGACTAGGGAAGCGCTGCAAACGCGAAGAAAAGATGTTTAACGGAACCAAAATTTCGCACGGCATAGCGGCAAGGGATCCCTTAGCGACAGGCTTGAGACTTCCAGGCCATTTTAGGCCACTCAGGGTCAGTGTGAGCTCTCAGAAGCCTGCTTAGGATCCTGAAGATTGGCGTTGGTCACCCCAAATAGTTACGCGTATGTGGTGCTTTAGGGCTTTCCGAGCCCAAAGTGGGGCCCTCAGAAGCCAGTGTGGGCGGCGGGCGCTAAAAGACCAGGCCCAGGGTGAGCCGGGAGCCCTCAGATAGCAGTGTGAACCCTGGAGGTCTGTGTCGAATCCCTAAGGAGTTAAGGACCCTACATAGGGACATAAGAAACATGTGCTGGGACCCTCAGAGGCACACGTGAGTTGTGACCCCTAAGCTGCCGGCTTGGGCTCAGCAAAATCTGTCGCCTCAAAAGCTCGGCTGAGCTATCAGAGGCCTAAGGTTCTCAGAAATTTTCGAAAGTATTCTCAAAGATCCATGTGGCCCTTCAGAGGTCTACGCATGTGTAAGGTCCTCAAAGATCCCTGTACGAGTATGAGCCCTCAGAGAATATGGACACAAGTGGGACTCTCAGAGGCTGGTTTGGGCCCTCTGAAGGCTTCTTAGAGCTCAGTGGAGGTCCTTCGGAGCCTGTGTGAAAAGCAAGCTCCTGTGGCACTTGAACGGTACTTGAGTCTGTAGCAGACATTTGACGAGAGTTAAGAAGGCCCGAAGATTTAGTGTCACGCTTTGAACGGAAATTTTGTGTCAGCACTTCAAAACTTATGAAAATCGGCTATAAAATGTAATAAAGAACTTGGAATGAATCACAGTATTGACATTCCCGAGTCTAGAATCGGCGTCGTGAAGATTTTGGCGACTGCGACTCCGATTCTGGCTTGAACTGTACCCTTCAACCGAGTCTGACATCACAGGCATTCTCAGAAAGGTACCCCCATTTTTTCCCGACTCCAAAATCTCATCGGATCTGTATCGATCTCAGGGGGTGCCCGGTCCGAGGTTGGGGGGGCAAGCTGCCCCGCTTGCCCCCCCGTAGCGACGCTAATGGTGTCATCAGATCGTCATCAGGGCCAATCTGATGTCGGTATGGTAATTGGTATACTTACTTAACCCGCGCGGGGCTGGGGTCTCCAGCCGAACGCGCGGGGCTGGGGGGGGGGGGGGGTAAATTTTACCCCCCCTGTTATCTCCCGAACTAATGGTCCTATTTGGAAAATTCAAGCGCCAATCGAAAGATCTCATGACAAACAGCTAAAAACATGTACTTAATTTAAAGTTTGAGGTCAAGGTCAAGGTCAGGTCAAGGGTACAAATTCAAAGTTTCTTAAGTATCGGCCTTGCACCGTAGTTGCCGAAGAATGGAGTCATGGACTGAGACTGATTGCCCAAAACGTGTTCTTAGGCTACCAAGACAATATTCGTTGCATACAATGTCATTCAGAAGTCAAGGTCAAGGCCAGGTCAGGTCAGGTCAGGTCACCAAAAACAAAATATAGAAAAGGGCATGTGCGACACATGTTTTATGGGTCATTTTACTCATAGAATTCCATAATCACACTCAATAAGTGATATGGACCACCTCTGGATGAATTTCAGGTCGAGGTCAGGTCAAGGTCAGGTCAAGTGAGGTCAAATTTTGAAATTGGTTGTTAAGGCCTAAAAAGGTGTCTATCTGATGCAGTTTTTCACGGCGAATCGAATGGTGCTATTTTTGTTTCCGTACGAGGTCCAGAACTTCCAAAAAAATCATTTTTCAAAATTTTTGTGTGTCGTGACGTCATAAAATTTTGAATAACTCCCACATTTTTGAACCGATTCTTTTAAAAATTGGTATGTAGGTGCACATAGACCACTTCTCTGACATATATTCCGGTTTTTTCGATACACTCAAAATTTTGGATTTTATAATTATTGTCCCAAAAAAGTCAGTTTTTTGAAAAAATTTGGGCCAAAATCCAAAATTTTCAAAAAACCGAGATAGCCATTTGATAGACAAAGTAGAATTACGTATAACCTTTTTGTTACGTCTTGATTCCTTTAAAAATGATGATGTTAGCGGCGTTTGAAATTTTGCCGTTTTTCAGGCGAAAATGGCGAACATGACGTCACTAAAACGTCAATTTCTCAAAAAATTTCCGACAGATTTCGCTCAAATTTTCAGGGAACGTGTCAAATTGATGTAAGAAAAGGTACTGAAAGTTTGGCGGCGCTGCGCGCTGCCGTTTTTGAGATATTGCAAAAATTCGCGAGGGGGGTAAAATTTACCCTCCCCCCAGCCCCGCGCGGGTTAACCCTCGCCCGCACATGCCATTTTCCCATCCTAGAACGCACATGGGGGGGTGGTTGCCACCCCCCCCCCCCCGCGCCATTTCGTTCCTGTTGGAGATAGAGCTTAGCGGTAAAGACCAAAAAGATTCTTTGGGAAGAGACGAATCCAATGATACCCAGTTTTACCTTCTCAGGTCAGTCATTGACCTTCCAGGTCAGGTCAAACTAAAAAATGTTGCTGTTTTGGGTCACCGTTGGATATCAAGTGCTCTGCTTATCATAAACCGATGACGATGCCGTTTTCTGGTGCCAAGCCAGCTAGAACCTCTTTGTCACACTACCCGACCAGATTTTTGCTGCTGAGGTCATTTCAGGTCAAGTTAGGTCAAGGTCAATTATATGTGTTTGTATGTCTGTGTGTGTCTGTGTGTATACTGATGTGTGCACCGATTGTTTATGTGTCCATATTACATGAAATCATGCTCTGAGAAGCTTTTACAAAAAATGCAGTCAAAAAAACTTCACAAAAAGTAAATTCCGCTTGCCTAAAACGCAATTATCTTAGATGACCTAGGTTGACCTTGACCCTGACCTTGACATCTGTACATCGTCGAACAACATGTTCCATGATAGGTGGGAGGTAAGACTGGCAAAAAAGGCCGAAATCAAGGTGTCAAAAGCTCACAAGGCCCATAGCCAACGCAAGATGTTGAGAATTAACCATTTGGGTCATGACATGACCTGAAAAACAAGGTCATATCTCCGAAACCAATAACCACAGAAACTTGAAATTTTCAGTGGACATCAAGAAAGGATAGAGGAGCAGCTATACGAAAAATCAGCCTTCTAGCTCTAAAAATGTTGAGTGCAGAGCAGAAAGACTACCTGGGGGGGTGGCAACCACCCCCCCATGTGCGGGCGAGGGTTAACCCTCGCCCGTATTGGTGTTTTTCCGGCCACGAACGTATAACCCGCATCCCGCTGGGCTATTCAGCCATACGCGCCCTGCTGGGGGGGGGGGGGGGCAGATTCTGCCCCCCCCCCCGTCTAACTTCCGAACCGATGGTCGTAGAAAGACGGGGAAAACGGCAATCGAAAGCTCTCAACAGGGCGGATCTTAACCCGGCCGGGCCCGGGGGGTAATCTCAACCACCGCAGCCCGGGGGGGGGCGTTTTTCGCCCCCCCTGTCTAACTCCGTAAATAAGGGAGCTACGGAAACAAAAGCGATACCAAACGAAAGGTCCTTACGAGACGATTCTAATGCACCTAAAATTTTTGACCTCAGGTCAATTTTCAAGGTCAGAGGTCAAGGTCAAAGGCCAAAACCGGCACATGTGTAGTGATCTCAAAGTAAGCCTTCTAGAGGACGGCAGGCTGCATCAAACCGGCAAAATTGGGTGTCAAACGAAAGAAGAGAATCTGAGGATTCTGAAAATGTGCTCCAAATCAAAGGTCAAGGTCAAGGTCACGCTCAAAATTGACCTCAAACTTGGCACTTTTTCGCACATCTTGCAAGCTAACTTCCAAGATGTTTTGAAATGTTTTGAGGCTTATCAGTTCCCTATTTGTGGTTCATCTTACGATACAAGGCTGCTCAAAGGTCAAGGTCACAGAAGAGT